GGTAGTTTGATCTTAGAGTAGGATAATAGGCCAGCACAACATTGAGTTCTATAAAATTTCTCAAATTCTTGAAGAGAAAGGGATCAAGGTTTCTGCACAAATGCATAAGTTAATCTACTCACTTCCTGTTTTGACCACTCCCACTGAAGACATCTGGCCAGTGCTGAAATCCGAAAGAGAGTAATGAATTGAAAATCGACACAGGATCTGTTTTTTCTTTCTCTCTGTTTTCTCTCCCTCTCTCTCTCTTTCTCTGTCTCGCTCTTAACTTCCTGATGAGTTAATGGATACCCTTTTTGGCAACTCAAGTAAGTATTATTCATGTGAGTCTGGAGTATTGGCAAGCCATTCAATAGTGAATATCATTGCAGCCAAGGGTGCTCCAACGCCAATAAATGCACACTTACCAGTGGCAATAGGAAATTAGGAGCAGGCATTTTTCAAATTTCATTCAAATGGTTTAGAGATTTCTTTTACACAAACACAGATTAGGAGCAGGAGCCACATGGTATCATCATCCAAGAAAATAACAGCTGATCTGATTATTCCACATTTCTGCCTGCCTTTATAACCATTCATCCCTTGGCTTATCAATAGGTATCCACCTCTGCCTTAACAATTTTCAAGAGCTCTGCTTCCACCATCTTTTGAGGAAGAAAGCTCCAAATACACTCAACACTCCGTAAGAAAAATTCTTTCTTACCTCTGTCTTAAATGGGCAACTCCTTATTTTGAAACAGTTACCACTAGTTCTAGATTCTCCCACAAGAGGAGACATCCTTTCTACCTGCAGCCTTTCAAGACTCCTTTGCCTCTTATCTTTCAGTAAAGTTGCCTCTTACTCTTCTAAACTCTTGCACTTAAAAACCTAGCCTGTTCAATGTTTCCTTATAATACAACCTATCCATTCTAGGTATTTGTCTAGTAAACCTTTTCTGAATTGCTTCTAATGGATTTACATCCTATGTTAAATAAGATGACCAGTTCTGTACACATTATTCCAAATATGGTGCCACCAATATCCTGTACAATGAAGATAACCTTCTCACCTTTTCAATCCACCTAAAATAACATTCTATTAGCTCTCCTAATTACTTGCTGTACCTAAATACTAACCTTTTGCAATTCATGCACAAGGACATCTGAGTCCCTCTATATCTCTTATCCTTCTGTGATACATGAACACATTGCTGACAGGGCCAACATTTATTGCCTATCTCAAATTGAGAAGATAGTGGTGAAATGTCTTTTTGAATTGCTGCAGATGATGTGGTTTAGGTGTTACCATAGTGCTACTGAGTGGGGAGTTCCAAGGATTTTAACCCAGCGATAGTGGAGCAACAGTGATGCAGTTCCAAGTTAGACACCGGGTTATAGTCCAACAGGTTTATTTGAAATCACAAGCTTTTGGAGTGTAGCCCCTTCACCAGGTGAAGTGAGAAAGAAGTGCAAAGACACAGAATTTATAGGCAGAGAGATCAAGGGCAGAGAGGTCAAAGATCATACAAATGGTGTGAGTGGAGTGTCGAACAATAAATCTCTGCAGGTGATCAAAAGTGTCAGATGGTGTGAGTAAAGTGTCAACAGCTGAACAGCAAGTGAAAGGATGACCTATAGTCCAATTAAATGAGGCAGAGAGATAATTACAAAAAATTAAAGGTAAGGTGGTATTGGAGACAAACCAAATGGCTGGAATAACATGATTGGTCTAAGAGTCGCATGCCGAGAGTCTAACAAAAGTGATAAGTAATCCAAAACTATACAAACTAATTAAGGTAGAGAGATCATAACAATTTATCAAGGTGATGGCGTCAGTGAGGTCGTGCCCATGAAGATGGCCTTAACCATAATCTTGAGTACATGTCGCGTTACGTGTGACTCCACCAACTGTCCTGTGTCTGTAAAACCTTCCTCACTGTCCTGACTGTCCTCACTGACACCATCACCTTGAGAAATTGTTATGATCTCTCTACCTTAATTAGTTTGTACAATAGGTCATCCCTTCTCTTGTTATTCAGCTGTTGACACTTACACTATCTGACACTTTTGATCACCTCCAGAGACTTACAATTTGACACTCCACTCACACCATTTGTAGGATCTTTTGATCTCTCTGCCCTTGATCTCCCTGCCTATAATTTCTGTGTCATTGTGCTTCTCTCTCACTTCACCTGGTGAAGGGGTTACACTCCCAAAGCTTCGTGATTTCAAATAAACCTGTTGGACTATAACCTGGTGTCGTGTGATTTTTGACTTTGTCCACCCTAGTCCAACACCGACACCTCTACATCACAGTTCCAAGTTATGATGGTGTGTGTCTTGTTGGTGTAATCATTTCAGTTATCTCCTGGTTTGTTCTTCTAGGTGTTTGAGATTGTGGGTTTGAAAGGTGCTGCATGGTGAGTTGCTACAGTACACCTCGTATAGGGTACGCGCTGCTGCTACTGTTGGTTTTGGTGGAGGAGGGAGTAGTTAGTTATGATGATGGATGGATGCTGATCAAGTGAGCTGCTTTATCCTGTATGGTGTAGAGAAGCTGCACATATCCTGGACAATACTCCATCACACTTTTGACCCATGTATGCAGTTGGAGAGATGTGGGGGTTGTGAAGATTTGAGTTACTGCAGAATTCCCAGATTCTGACCTGACCTTATAGTCACAGCTTATTATCTGGTCAATGGTAACCCCCAGGATGTTGATAGTGGGGCATTTGGTGATGGTAATGACTTTATACATCAAGGGTATATGTTTAGATTCTGTCCAGTTGGAGATGGCCGTTGACTGGAATTTGTGTGGTGCAAATCTTTTTTGCCATTTGTCAGCCCGAGTCTGGATATTGACCACGTCTTGCTGCTTATGGACACAGACTGTTTCAGTATCTGAGGAGCTGTTAATAGTGCTCAGTGTTGTGCAGTCATCAGTGAGCAATCCAAATTCTGATCTTATTTTAATGAAGCAGCTAAAGATGATTGACTTCCTAAAACTACAACCGTCTTATTTGTGCCAATATGACTTCAACTCGTGTGGAGTTTCCCCCCGATTCCTGTTCACGTTGGATTTGTTAGGGCTCATTGATGCCGCACTCACTCACATCTCACCTCTGGAATTTAGCTCATTTGTCCATTTTTGAACTAAAACTATAATGAGGTCGAGAGCTGAGTGGCCCTGACAGAACCCAAACTGGGCATCAGTGAGTAGGTTATTGATGTGGGCCACTTGATGATGACACTGCCAGTGACACCTTTTATCACTTTGCTGATGATCAAGAATAGAATGAGGTGCAGAATTTAGCTGGATTGGATTTATCCTGTTTTCTGTGAGTAGCATGTAACTAGGCAAATTTCCACATAGCTGGGCAGCTGTCAGTGCTTTAACTGTAATGGAACTGATTGACAGGGGTGTGGCATGTTCTGGAGCACAAGTCTTCAGTACTGTTACTGGAATGTGTGAGGGCCCATAGCCTTTGTAGTGAAATGTGTCTTCACACTGTTTCTTTACATCACGTGGAGTGAATCAAATTGGGCTAAAGACTGGCATCTGTGATCCTGGGGGCCTCTGGAGGAGGCCAAGATGGATCACCCACTCAGCACTTCTGTCTGAAGATTGTTGCAAGTCTTCTAACCTTGCCTTTTGCACTGATGTGCTGCGCTCCCCCATCATTGAGAATGGGGCTGTTTGTGAAGCCTCTTTTCCAGTGAGTTCTTTAGGTTTCCACAACCATTCAAGACTGGATGTAACATGGGTACAGAGCTTTAGATCTGATCTGTTGATTGTGGGATTGCTTAGCCTCAATGTCACATGCTGCTTCCACTATTGAGCACACAAGTGTTCCTGTTTGGTCACTTCACTGTTTTTTATTGATATGGTTGGTGCTGCTCTTGGCATGTCTGCCTGCATTTTTCAATGAACCAGGTTTAATTCCTGGTCTTGATGGTAGTGGCTGATTGGGGAGTTTTCTGGGCCATAACGTTGCAGAATGAGTTGTATACAATTCTTCTGCTGCTTCACTTCACCTCATAGTAGCCCAGTTCTGAGTTGCTAGATCTATTCTGAACCTATCACATTGAGCACGATGATAGTGCCACATGACACGATGGAGGGTATCTTCAATGGGACTTTGTCTCCAAGAACTGTGCAAAGGTTACTCCTACCAATAATAAAGTGGATATCACAGTGTTATCTGTGGCAGACTTGTGAGGATGAGATCAGATATGTTTTTCCCCACTTGTTGTTTGCCTCATCCCCTCCCACAGACTCAGTCAAGAAGCATTGTCCTTTCGGAATTGGTCACCCCAGTGAGTAGTGGTACTGCTGAGGCACTCTTGATAATGGACATTGAAACTCCCGAACCAGAGTATATTCTGTGTCCTTGTCACCTTCAGTGCTTCGTCTAAGTGGTGTTGAACATGGAAGAGTGCAGACTCAAATAGCAACACAGGTACTGCGACTGGTCTGAATCCAGTCTTTCGGATTTAGATGTATTTACTGCATTAAAGATGCTGGTATGCAAACAGGAAAAAAAAAATTGGAATAAATATTTGCATGAAATAGAATAACTGGCCTGAGAAAGGGTACGTGGTATAAATGAGGACTGAGCTATATGCCTGGGTGGAGTGAGTCAGTGGTACTTGGTATTAGACCTTGTGTTCCAGTATCATTGCCCTGCGGTTAGCAGTGGTCTGTGTGATTTGAATGCAGAGTTTGCAGCAGCTTGTTTTCTCTGACTAGCTTCACACTGTTGCTGGCTGGTTCCTTGCTTATTGCAGAGGTGGCTCCTCAAACACCTCCTCAGTTTGAAAAAGCCAATACAGTTGTGCGTTCTGCACATTTAATGTTTTACCGCCCCATAGTGAGGGAGGTGCTCCTCCCCTGGCTTGTAATGGAAACCTGTGCTTTCCTGCTGACCAATTATTGGCTCAGGCCAATCTTCTGGCCAGTTGACTCAAAGTTTGCTAATTTTTCTTTTGGGGTTTTTGACTGATTGCCTTTCTGTTCACAGGCCAGAATTGAGTTTATGACACCTGAGGCATCACCTACATCTAATGGGGTGCAGCAATCTGAGGAATCAACTTCGTGGGATCAGTCAAAAGGTAAGTGCTGCTCAGGATGGAAGCTACAATAGTGTAAGACAGTGGGTGGTGGCAGAGGAGTGGGCTTTGGGAGGGGAAGTTAAGGCTAGTTAAGCCTGAGCAGTCCTCGCCTAGGGATTGTAAAATTAAGCTCCTGTTTATATGTGTGAGCAGAGGCTTAGGTTTGACTATTTAATCGCAATGACTGAGTCAATATGAATCTGGAGTTGATGAAAATTTGGCCACGTGAATGAGAAAGGCCCTTGGAGCTGAACTGCAACTTCTTTAGCAATAAAATAACATTGCTAGAGAAAGAAGAAGACTCTGTAAAACAGCTAGGCCCATGTGATTAACAATGCATCAGATGAAAAACATCATTTATCCAACACACATGCAAGTAAAGGCTTTGATAAGCAAAGTTGAATTGTAAATTATTTAGCATGGATGCTCTATGAATGCAAAATCAAATGAACACCATCACAATTTGAATAACAAATGAGCAAGAAAATTTGCTATTGTCACTGTTTAGTCTGATAATCTCCCCAGATGTAACTTCCTATTCTGTGTTTCCCAGAATGTATGCACCTTGCATGCATGCACATTTGTGAAACATAATTCAAAGCTTCTTTATTTAGCATGAGGTCTGTTTACAACTGAATTTATGGATTTTTTTCTTTCTATTCATTTGAGGGGTGTGCATGTTGCTGGCTGGTCAGCATTTATTGCATGTTCCTAGTTGCCCTTGAGAAGGTGATGGTGAGCTGCCTTCTTGAATCACTGCAGTCCACCTGCTGTGAGTTGACCTACAATGCCCTTAGGGAGGCAATTCCAGGATTTTGACCCAGCAATAGTGAAGGAATGGTGGTATATTCCCAAGTCAGGATGGTGAGTGGCTTGGAGAGGAACTTGAAGACGGTGGTGTTCACATGTATCTGCTGCCCTTGTCCTTCTAGATGGAAGTTGGCCGAGTGTTTGGAAGGTGCTGGTTGAGGATGTTTGGTGAATTTCTGCAGTGCATCTTGTAGATAGTACACACTGCTGCTACTGAGTGTCGGTGGTGGAGGGAGTGGATGCTTGTGGATGTGGTGCCAATTGAGCAGGCTGCTTTGGCCTGGATGGTGTCAAGCTTCTTGAATGTTGTTGGAGCTGCACTCATCCAGCAACTGGGGAGTATTCCATCACACTCCTGACTTGTGCCTTGTAGATAGTAGACAGGTTTTGACGAGTCAGGAGGTGAGTTACTTGCCGCAGTATTCCTAGTTTCTGACCTGCTCTTGTAGCCACTGTGTTTATGTGGTGAGTCCAGTTGAGTATCTGGTCAATGATAACCCCCAGGATGTTGCCAGTGGAAGGTTCACTGATGGTAACACTGCTGAATGTGAAGGGGTGGTGGTTAGATTGTTTCTTATTGGTGATGGTCATAGATTGGCATTTGTGTGGCGCGAATGTCACTTGCCACTTGTCAGCCCAAGCCTAGATATTGTCCAGCTCTTTGAAGAGCATTCCCATCGATGTCAGAAAAGCACAGAGTATTACTGTATTAGGTGTTCAGTCTCCTTTGGAAAATATAACCCCTCAATCCTTTAAATGAACAATATGCCTTGCAGCCATGGTCTCTGATGCATTTATTCTGTGATCGGCTTCCTGCTGTGAATCCGATAGGAAACTTGCACAATCTCTCCTTCCCGTTAACCCTCCTACATATTACCCAGCCCAAGAACACCACTATTTTCTTGTGCTAATGCAGGTTTTGTAAGCCCTAAAAAAAAACTCACCTTATGGAAAGTTTGTGACCACTCTGAGAAGTCTTCTGAGAGGTCGGGAACATTCTGACAAGTTAAAATGTTTCTGTGGCTGAAATGTTATCATTAAATGCAATATTATAGTGTGGACACATTTTAACTGCAGTGATTTAGCATAGGGGTTTGTCCTAAGGAAGTAAGTTCACTTTTTAGTTGAGCAGCTTTGTTTAATGCATTAGAAGTATTTGAGTTTATTCCACATTGGAGAAGAAGATATATACATATAGAATTCAAGACTGTAAGAAAATATGCTGCGAAAATGTATGACATCTATAAATCACAGGAAAAATGAAGAGACCATTAAATTTGAAAAATATTGCCTTGATGTTCAATGTTTTGAAAAAGAAATGTCAGCATCTGAAGAATTCCATTGGCAGGCAATCTGCTTTGAAATGGAATTGGACACCATCAGCAGCTTAAAAGCCATTTTAGTTTCAATTTCAGTAGATTCCTATGTTTAGATTTCGCGCAGTGTAATTGCTGAAGTTATTATGAATGCTTGGTTATTTTTTAAAGGACAGGACATTTTAAACGGTAGGATTTCTCAGCCTACCATCTAAAGAGTCAGCAGGTAATGCAACTGTTCTGATCGTGGCAACCCCTAGTAATCTGATTCTTCAAGGATTATTAATTTGATGCAGAAAGGATTTATGCTCCTTGACTGGTGCTGAGACCCTGCCTAAGACCTGATGGCCAGTCACTTTGGCTGACTGCTGTATAATCCCAGCAGCCCTAGTAATTTCCAGATTCCATGTCCCAGAGTCAAGGTCCAGGTAAGAGCAAGGAGTCTCATTACAGGAGGGAGCAATGGGGCCTAGAAGGTTGGGAAGTGGGAATTTTCTTGATAGAAAGGCCCTGGGGGAGCTCTTTGGGGTGCATCTACTTTGGAAAAATATGCCCTTTCTAGAAGAAGGTGCCTTCCTTCCCATCTGAGGCCTAAGATGATGACCTGCCAGGAATGCCCCACTCCAACCCACCCCAGAAATCCAACTGTCAACTTCAAAACGCAGGCCAGGCAGGAAGAAGCCTTTTATTGATGATGATGGCTACTCGATGGCCTTAATTGAGATCAGGGCTGGTGGGACACCCTAGGCCTTGCATCACCCTTTAAACTTACTGAGGTCCCTGATTTACAAACATCTGATTAATGAATGTTCATACTTAGGAACGTGACCCAATACAGGGGTACAATTTTAAAGATCAGACATATGAACATTGCCTCTACGCACAAATGACTGCTTTATGTTGGCCTGCATTCCGTTCCAATTTGGATACAAATCGACTTTGCGAACAAAGAATGGAACCTGTTCATAACCTGGGTGTGACCTGTAGTGCCAGAGGTCGGGTGTTGGAGGGGGTATGGAATAGGGACACCGAGGGGTTTGGGAACACCCATATGTAAAACTGCTGGCAAGGTGTTGTAAAATTCTGCTCAAAGCCCCTATGTCCAGGCAGGGGTCACAATTTCATTATCAGCTTTGAGATTATTAAATAAGTATCTGTCTTTCATGTAATACGTTGATAAATGTTTGTCTTTACAATAGATTGATGGTTTAGGCAGTTCGCATTTTTGAATGGCTTTTACGAATGCTTCTCTGTGTGAAATGTATTGGTACGATAGATTGTTAGAAGCTTCTTATTTTTAACGCTCATTGCAAAGACACCTTGCAGTCTGTCTGCAGTAATTCTGGATAAGTGGCTATGTTGGATACATGGAGGTATTATAGAACCATGGGGTGACATTTGAGGGGCATAAGGAGGCGAGGTAGAGGTGGCATGGGGTGGTATTAAGAACATGAATATGAGGCACAGTGGATGGGAAAAGGCATGGAATGGGCATTTAATAATTGTGATGAGTATGAGGTGGTATAGAACAACATGGAGGAAATGAGGGGCAATGGGGAGTATAATATATAAGTGTTGAGACTGGGTGGGAAGGGTATGCGGGGTGTGGTTGTAAGCCCAAGTTTCAGAAAAGTGCCTGAAAGTCAACAGGGTACAGGTATCACCTGGACTGAGATGCAAATCCAGGCTTGTCACATTTAGATTCTAACAGAATAATGACTTCAGTATCTGGCCTTGTCATCCAGTGATATGTATTCATTAGCAGCGAATGCTCAGTGATGATATGCCTTAAGTTAAGGATTCCAATTGATACACAGTCCTGACTTATAAATAACGAATGAGGAGTGAGAATCTATAGGGCTATTTGTAATCATCAAACTGATTCCCAGCATATGTCACCACTTTCAAGAGAGCAAGATGGTAGGTCAGGGTGAATTACAGGAAAGAAAATAGCATCAGCATCTCGTTTGAAGAAATAGATGTAACACCGCATACTTTAAACATTGCCTACTTATCAATGAAACAAACTGGCGTACATTGAGCTAATGGGTTTTTGTTTTCAGTTAGATGGTTATCTCAATTGGCATCCATTATTAATCTTTGCCATTTTTGCACGTTACATAGTGTAAATTGATTTTGGAATTGTGCCTTGAGTTAAAGCTGTGAAATCATGCCTGGTCCACTCTGATCGTAATCTGTACATCCCGTTCACTCAAAAGAAAATTGATAATGATCAAGATTAAAAGTACACTGTGGCAAACAGCTAAGAGTAATCATTTCATTGACAGCCTGTTTAGAATGTCATTCTTTGTGTAATGTGCGCTAATGATGGAATCTTCCTGCAGTAGGATTATTGATGGTAATCATTATTAACCCAACATAAAGCAAAAGCTTCACAATTGTGACCACCATTGACCTATCAGAATCAAACTTGAGTATTATAACACTGTTGGAGATATTGAAAACAGAACGTCCAACTAGTTTAATCTGATAACCAATTGATATGTGAAATATTTAGATCTGTTCCTGGTTTTGTTCTAGTGATGAGCAGTTTCGAAGAACTAACTCAGGCAGAAAGGCCAAATGGCCTTTTCCTGCTCTGTACGATTCTATGAACTGATCCAGCCACTGATTCATGGGGCTGGGAATGGATTTCTGACATGATCAACAGTAATGGCCCATTCTTCGTTTTCCCGTGGGGTTAGTTTTTGACCCTTCCACTGGTTCACTACCTGGGAAGAAAGGATCACCCATCTGTTAGAGAGGCTGCCCACTCTATAGGTTGGGTGATGAGCTCTGCTGACTCCTTGTTCATACAGCAAAGGTTAAAAGTACTCCGATATGGGCAGCTTGATTTCCGAAGGCTTGATCTCCATCTCATCCACAGAGGGAAAATGAAAACACTCAGACGGGGCTTCAGGCTTTCCCGGTCTCACCACGTGAATGCTGGAGACTAAAATAGAAATAGATTAGAAATGAATCATCAAAAGCCACTTTTCCCACTATCCTGTTTCCAAGACCCATCCTTTTCCCGTATATCTGAGCGCATTGTTAAGCCTTGATACACAAGTGGAGAACCTTCTCAAGTACGGGACGGAAAGCAGTCTAACATTTTAAATCAGAACCTTTTGTTCTGGGATGAACTTGTACAGAATCAGATAAAAAGAATTGTCTGGCCACTTGTGATAGAAAAAGTACTGCTTTCTGGAGGTCAGTTGAATAGCTCCGAGAGCAATATAAATCTGGCCTTGTTTTCAGAGTGTCTCAAAATCTTGTCCCTGTAGATAAGATCCATCCTGTTTGGTTAGTTAAAAATCTAACCTAGGCTAGAATGACAGGTTTGGCCATTGCACTATTTGAATAATGTAGCCATTATTTTTAATCATGAATTATGAAAAAAAAACACCAGGCAGCCCAGTACATCACCTGCCTTTTTAAGGATATTAATAATCACCCAAGTCAGACTTCCTGACACCTGCAGACCTAAAGATCTGACCTTAGGAAACCATTTTAAATTTAACCTGCAGACTGCTAATGTAAAGTAGGTTGGATTTTCAAATCATTCAATCAAATAAAACTAGCTTCAATAGTTTTTCCTCAAGCTAATTCATAGTATTCTGGCTGTGTAGCTCAGCTAATGATCTAGAGATAGATGCTCAAATCCAGTTACAGCAATTTAGTTCACTTATTGAAAATGAATTATAAATAAAATCCAATGTCTTTAGTGGTGACGGTAAGACAACTGGACCGTCATTGGGTTCACGAGGACTGCCTTGAGGAAGAAAGTCTACCATCCTTGTCTAGTCTGGCCTTTATGTGACTCCAGACCCCAGTAATGTGGATGATCCTTAATTGCTCTCCACCATCGCTGAGTAAGCCACTCTTTCATACCACATTTGTAGACCATAAGACATAGGAGCAGAAGTAACCTGTTCAGCCCATCTAATCTGCACTGCCATTCAATGAGATCATGGCTGATCTAATAATCCTCAACTCCACTTGCCTGCCTTTTCCTCAAATCTGCCCAACTCAGCCTTGAATATACTTAATGTTCTAGTCTCAATAGCCCTCCCTGGTAAAGAATTCCACAGATTCACAACACCCTGGGAGAAGTAATTCCTCTTCATTTCTGTCCTCACTAGCATCATGTCTAAACAGAACACAGAAGCCTAGCAGAAGAGAGATACAATGTCACCTGTACTTCAACAAAGGTGACAGAAACACACCAAGGACTGCTGAAGAGGTTCTCTATCTAAGTTCAAATATAATGAATTCTTGCAATTGTAGTGGTGCATAATGTTTGTAAATCACTTCTGTTCCACAATTTGTAATTCGGAACAGTCGAACAATCTAAACAGGTAAATATTTCACACGGTTTGTGGCTAAATTGTATGCACTGTTAATGCCAATGCATTATTGTTCCCTTAGAGAATAATAAGAATGGTGAGAAAACAGAAAGCCAGCCAAACAGCCCAGAAATAACGGAGGACCTGAACTGGGACATCCCGTACTCAGAGTCTCTGACAGCTGCTCAGAAAGAACAGCAATGCAGAAACAACTTTACAAAGAGGCCTAGCAGTGCGACACTGCCGGTAAGGGAGAAGGGTGACTGTGTGCTTCAGTTATTTAATTTAACAAGTTCGTCATGAGCTACATCGTTTCTCTGGTTTTAACAAGGTCTGGGTGTGCTGGGGTTGGTTGAATGCAAGGCAACCCTCAAACTCAAATACCCAAATCGAACTTTGAACAAAAATGGAAAACTCTAGAGGTACTTTCCTCCTGAACTTTTGCTAAGGGAATAATTGTTGCTGAAACATTTCTTGAGTTCTACATATTTTAACTGAACACCATACTTTCTGCAGGAAGTGATTTTGTTATTTTCTGCCTTTTCTATTGAGGAAAGTAAACCTTTCATTTGTGTAATTTTTTATATGACCACTGGACTTCTCAGCTCACTTCACAGCTACTGAAAGGTAGTTGCTTTTCCTGTTGTATTCAGTTGCTTGGTGTTTGATTGTGGGAGTCTGCTAACTGATCAATGCTCACTGTGTTTGATTGCCCAAGCCTGGTTGCAGACTCAGAGAAAAGTGAATAGGAGTTACACATTAAATATTAGAAACTGAGAAATGAAACTTTGCATAAAATCTTGTTAATAAAGGGTCTGCATGTTTAGAGCCAGTGTCACTGCATTGATACAGTAGACCCAATGTATAAAATCTGGCTGTGTTTATTAGCAATGCCACTGCTAGAAGTGTCACAGTCTGCAAGTGTGAAAGGTGAGAGCATTGCACTTTACTGTGCAAAAGAAAACATACGTGTTCCAATTAGGAAACAAATAACTAGGCTAGAAACAATTTCTTGTAAATAAACAGTGGCCTAGTCTTGAATATGTTTAGATTTTTCCTCTTTATGAAGTGATTTTGATCCTGTCTAGCTTTAAATTGATAACGAGATGAAAGCTTATGGGCTACCCACACACAGGGAATCTGATAGGTGGGTCCATTCATTTTTAAAAATGTTTTCACTGGATGTGGGTGTCACCTAGCATGTATTGCCTGTCCCTAATTGCGACTTAAACCGAATGGCTTGCTAGGCCATTTCTGAGGAAAGTTTAGGGTCAACCATGTTGCTGTGTCTCTGGAATCCATGTAGGCCTTACCAGGTAACAATGCAGATTTTGTTCTCTAGCGGGCATTAGTGAAGCCAATGGGTTGTTACAACAATAGACATTAGGCTAACTTTTAATTCCAGATTTTCATTGAATCAAATTTCACCGTCTACCTTGGTGGGATTCGAATCCATGTCCCTAGGGCATTACCCGAAAGCCCTGGATTACTAGTTCGTTACCACTACACCAGTACCTCTTCATTTTGGTACATTGTGCCACCTGTTGATGGTTCATTGGCCCTTGCCCCCGCTGTGATTTCACCAGCGAGGTTTCATTAGAATATTGAAGATTTGAGTGAACATCAATTGTCCACCTAGAGAGCCTCATTGTGTTGATGCTTTGATATAATGGGCAGCAGGAGACACTAGAACCCAGGGAGAGGCCTGGTGGATTGAAACCTGAATGTCTGGCTCTGTTGGTGAATGGCACCTACAGTACTGGAGATGGATGGAAATCCTTCCTCGTACTAATTAAAGAGGCTATCGTACAACAGATTAAAACCTGGTGAGCTGGCTAAGAGGCAGGCTCACTTCCAGAATTTATGCTGGAGTGTGGGAGAGCCCATTGCTAGCCTGAGGTCCAGCCCGTGGTGTGTGGGGATGGCACATGAGAACATTTGTTACACCATTGCGTAGGACACAGAAACTGAGCTCCAAGGTGCCTATAGCAATGCTGCACATTTCAAGCCACGTACTAGCTTATCCACTTAAACCCAACTCCATTTTACACTGGGATTTATCAAAAAAGCAGTTGTACTTTCCCATGTGAGAAGTTGGCTAATGGTTTTGACTCCGTTTGCAATTTCAGAAATTTACCATTCGGGAGGATAGACTGGGACTAACACGCATTGGAGATCTATCCTCTCAGGATATGAAAAAAATCCATAACCTCTCTCTGATAGAGATCACCACTTTCTATGATGCACTTGGGATAGAGTTGAAGAGGAACAGGACTGTGAGGGTTAAAGCAAAGGGTGAGTTTTCTTCAACACTAACCATAACATTTCATTATGTTGCATGAAGGCACAAAGTATGTTTAGGATTATAAATCTCTATGTTTGAGCTACTTTTAACCATTGCACTTATTTAGCTTTCCTTTTAACCTGTGATATTGAGTGCTATTTGCAAATGAGGCAGAAAGATGGTGATGTGAGTTCTAAAGACCTTGGGAAAGGGATACACTAAAATAACTGGAGAGTATAACAAATGTCAAGAATAAGAAAAGACCAGCACCTTCCAATGAAGCTGATCCTTCCCATATCACCACTGCCTTGTTTTACATCCAGCTATCTTTTCTTTTCTACTATCTTTTGCCTTTGCAACTCTATTTGAGTGGTTGAAATAAGGAAGAGCAGGAATATGGACTATCAAGCCTGCTCTGCCATTCAATGTGATTATGGCTGATACTTAAACACAATCCCACTTCCCTGCTGGATCCCCACATTCCTTGAATGGCCAAAAATCTACTGGAATCTCGAGTAGAGTCATAGAGGTATACAGGATGGAAGCTGACCCTTCGGCCCAACTCCATGTGATCAGGTTTCCTAAACTAAACTAGCTCCATTTTCCTGTGTTTGGCCCCATATTCCCTAAACACTTTTCTGTTCATTTACCTATCCAAATGTCTTTTAAGTGTTGCAATTGTACCAGCCTCTACCACTTCCTCAGGCAGCTCGTTCCATACTCGCACCACCTTCTGTGTGAAAATTTTGCCCCTCAGATCCCTTTTAAATATTTCCTGTCTCACCTGTACTCAACAGCTCAGCATGCACAACTTCTTGAGTAAATAATACCTTATGATATCTGCTTTAAATTTATTTTCGTTGGTTTTACTTACCTTAAGATCAGCGGCACAAAGAATAATTAACATCTCTGTCCAGTGCCAATTCCCACGGGAATGAGACAGCCACAAGGGAGAGGTTGTGGAGCAGCGAAGGTTGAGACATCAGGGGGGACATGATGGAGGTGGATGGGATAGTGAACAGTTCTGAGGAAAGGTCATCAGACCCGAAACGTTAACCCTGATTTTTTTGTTCACAGATGCTGCCAGACCTGCTGAGCTTTTCCAGCAACTTCTGTTTGTGTTCCTGATTTACAGCATCCTCACTTGTTTCGGTTTTCACTTACAGCATGTTGGGAGTCAGGAACTCACTGCCTGAAAGTTGAGTGAGAAATTCTTAGAATGTTTAAGGCGTATTTAGGTATCCACTTGCATTGCACAGCCTCCAGGGCCATGGGTCAAAAACTGGAAAATGGAATTAGTGTAATCAGCTCCTTGTTGACTGGCATTGACATGATGGGCTGAATGGCGATCTCCCGAGCTATAGACATCTGAGATTGCTTACACAGAATGGTTGAAGGCTATCCCTAGACCTCTTACTTCTGGTCATTGCATTTTCATGGGAATGCATCATGTTACTCTCGAAACATATATTACTACTGCTGCTGATTTCAGAAGAACCTGTTTTAATAAGTTCCTTATTCATTACAGAAACAGGCCCCTTTGGTGTTCCCCTCACAACGTTGCTTGAAAACGATCAAAAGAAGGTTCCAGGGACAAAAATTCCTCTCATCTTTCAAAAAGTAGGTACAATACGGTGAACAGGAATGCCCGATTATACATGTGGCTTAATGTGGGCTGGCATAGTATTCAGTGTTGTGTAGGGTGACAGTGAGAGGGTCCAACCATGCATACAGCATGCAGTCAAGACTCAAGTACAGAGATTTTCAATAAATCACACAAACCATTGAAAATCACGTACATCAACAACTGCGTTGAAGAATAATATGCACTCAGGAAAGATGTACCGCAAGAGAGGATTAAGTGTGATGGGTTGCCTTTGGTGCAGATTATAGTTAAAGGTAACGTCTGTGCTTGAAATGAAACAGACCCTGTAGAATGCAGTAGTTTAATCCCCTCCTGAGCAATCTTCTTGGCTACGATCCAGTTGCCATTTCCTCTCCCCAGCTGGGCTGGTGAGTTGTGTGTGGGGCTCCCTTTAGCTTTGAGACTTATGAGGCAGTAATTCAGTACCCAATCTGTGTTTTCTTAATCTCACACTGATTCAGATTGAGTATTTGGAAAATTGATTGCTTCTTTTCTTCCCGACGTTGCCTCCTAGCAAATTGATCTCTTCAAATTTATCGATGGATACTGTCCATTTTTAAAGATCTCCCTTTGGATGAATTGAAATCTTGATTATTAGTTCTTCACATTAGTCCACTGTATAATTTAGTGTGAAATTCAGGAATATTAGAGAGGGGTGCCTGTCACAAGTTATTTATGGATATCTGCAGACTTTTAAGCTTGTCGACTCTGATTTTATTTAAGTAAAAGACCCACATTTTGGTTTAAGCATGTGATCTTGGACACATTTTATGCCTCTCCCTGGCTTCAAGTGGAACTGATTTGTTTTTGGATCATTTATGTTTGATTTTATAGCCCCATTTGTTATATAACTTTTGACAGTGAACTCTCAACAAAACTGCTCATGCAAAAAAAAGGTCTTCATTATCCTTTAATTTGAGATAAGCTCTCTGTAATGTGCCCCAGATAACATGTTGGTTAAAACTTTTCTAGTTTGGAGTTTTTTTTTCTAATTTAACCAATTTTTTTTTAATCAACCTGTTCAGAGATGTTATTAGACACCTCTGGAGCATGCAGAACTTGAACCCGGGCCCCCTGTTCCAGGGGTAGGGGCATTACCACTGTGCCACTTAGTTTGGAGTTATCTAATGGTCACTACGTCCATCTCCTGTATTCAGCAATATCACCATTCAATTGATCCTGGTATTGCATTGAAACTAAGGATTGCATGTAACTAACGGATCACAAATGAGCACAGAACCGACAACAAAATCACCTAAGATTTCCAGCATCCTCAAAAATGGAATGCTGAACATTTCTCTCATGAGGGTCTGAATCTGCAAGTCAGATGAGCACAGGTGCCTCAGTTATCTATGCCTCAGTCCGATTGTATTTGGAGCACAGCAGTCACTTTGGGCACCTGTCTTTAGGTAGTGCAGTGTGAAGGGAGTTGTGAGAACCATAAACTGTAAACCTGCCAATAGAGAATACACAGTGTGGAGCCGGAGGAACGCAGCAGGCCGGGCAGCATCAGAGGAGCAGGAAAGTTGACGTTTCAGAAAATGAAGAAGGGTCCCGACCCGAAACGTCAACTTTCCTGCTCCACTGATGCTGCCTGGCCTGCTGTGTTCCTCCAGCTCCACACTGTGTTGTCTCTGACTCCAGCAACGTTTGGGAAGAAAGTGCCTTGTAAATGTCCAGGCAGCCAGCAGTTAAGCTGGTGAATCGAGTGCTGGGGTGTGAACAGCGAATGCAAGCTTTTAAGCAATTAAGTCACAAAGTATTATCCCTGGCTCAGATCCAGGGAAGAAGCACTTAATGAGCTGCAAGCAGGTCCTGGTCCTTAGCATTTTGTGTGTGTCCTTTTGTTAAATGAAAGGCTGTCAGATGGGGGAGTAGGGATTGGCAAAAGTGGAGTTAACTTGTCTGGATATCCTGTGAAGAATTGACTTGTTCGGGATCATTAACACAAGAAAGCACAAGGCCCATTGCATGAGTCTCAGGTAGTTTTATTTTACCAGAAGCAGAGACCTTTCTTAATCTATGTGTACAACAGATGAAGAGTTTTATTTCCTCTACTCCAGTGAGAATTCTTATCTAGAGGATATGAGAGAAATGTTTATCAAATTATTTGTAAAGATCCAAGTAGGACTACACAGAGAGAGATATGAAAAAGTAAAGCCATGAATAGATTTAAAAACCTGTGCATTTTTAGAAATCCTTAATAAGTTGCCAATGTCTGCAGTAGTAAACCTGATGTAATGTAAGTTAGCATAAAGGCAGCAGAGATCTGGATGAGCTCATGTTTGTATAGGCTGGAAGATGGGAGGTCAGCCAGGGGAGCATTAAACTAGTCAGTAGATAACAAAAACATCAGAGATTTAGCAGCAGATGAGCCAAGGCAGGACTGTGTTATGGTGGAGGGAGGAAGTGGACCTGGTGATGGAGATAAACAAACAGACTTGGAGTTGGGACTGGGGGCTGGTGGGGTGGTTTAATAGCTTATGAATGTTTGCATGTTCTTAAGTTTACATGATTAAAGTTTCAACTGCAGCAGAGGTGGTTTGAGCAGGATTTTAGACTTGGCTGACCCAATAGGTATAATATACAAGAATTCCTAACCTTTTAATTCAAATGCGTTTAACTAGGTTGCCATCATGAAAATTGATTAAACATGTAACAAATCCTGTCCTAGCTTTTGTCGAGAATGGAGCAAACTGGTTTGGATGCTGAAGGAATTCTCCGGGTTCCAGGGTCTGCCTCACGAGTGAAGGTAGGAATCATTTCTCATTCATCACCTCGTGAGTAATCTCCCTCCTAAAGTAAGCTAAACGGAGAGATTGTTGTTTGGATAAGAGTTGATTCCAATTGCTGGAAGATTATGGGGAAAAGGCAAGGAAGTGGAGTTGAAGATTATCGGGTCAGCTACACACTTTCCAATCACATACATGCTGTCTTATGCATCTCTTTCTAAAATTATACACCCTCCTGTTGCACCCCCCCCCCCCCCCCCCCCCCCCCCCCCCCCAAACTAACCTGTGGGCCCCTCAGGCCCCTACAGTCATTCACTCACTGTGCTGTTTTTAATATACATATAAAAATGACTTGGATGAAAATGTAGATGGGTGGGTTAGTAAGTTTGCAAATAATATGTTGTGGATAGTGTGGAAGATTGTCAAAGGATACCGTGGGATACAGATCAGTTGCAGATGGGGGAGAAATGGCAGATAGAGTTTAATCTGGGTAAGTGTGAGATGCTGCATTTTGGGAGATCAGATGTTAAGGAAAAGTATACAATTAATGGCAGGACTCTGAACAGCATTGATGTACAGAGGGACCTAGGGGTTCAAGTCCATAGCTATCTGAAAGTAGACACGGTGGTAAAGAAGGCATATGGTATGCTTTCCTTTATTGTTTGGAGAACTGAGTACAAGAGTCAGGATGTCGTGTTGCAGCTTTGTTTAGGCCACACTTAGAGAATTGTGTTCAATTCTAGTTGCCACATTACAGGAAGTATGTGGAGGTTTTGGAGAGGGTGCAGAAGAGTTTTACCAGGATACTGCCTGGATTAGACGGTATGAGCTATAAGGAGAGGCTTGAAAAACCTGCGTTGTTTTCTCTTGAGCAGTGGAGGAAATTTGATTGAAGTCTATAAAATTATGAGATGCATAGATAAGGTTGATGGTCAGAATCTTTTTCCTAGAGTTGAATTGTCTAAGAGTAAGGGGTATGCATTTAAGGTGAGAGGGGGGAAAGTTCAAAGGAGATGTGAGGGGCAAGTTTTTAACACAGAAAGTGGTAAGAATCTGGAATGTGCTGCCAGGGGTAGTGGTGGAGGCAGATATGATAGGGGCATTTAAGGGACTTTGAGATAAGCACATGAATATGTAAGGAATGGAGGGATATGAACCAAGAGCAGGCAGAAGGGATTAGTTTCATTTGGCATCATACTTGGCACAACATCATGGGCCAAAGGGCCTGTTCCTGTGCTGTACAGTTCTATGTTCTTTATACCGTATAGAAATAGTGAACTCTACAATGACAGTTCTGTGTTTGAAAGAAGTCATTCAGTGATAGGTTTCCACCAGTGTTTTTTTAAATGTTCTTACTTCAGGCCAATAAAAGTGTCAATCATACAGATCACTAAAAATTTCAATAAATGACACTGCAGCACTCTTGAATCTGTTTCACCTGGTGTAAATAAACATTGTGAAACTGCAGCCAGAGCTGTCAATCAGAAAGGGGTGCATGCGTTTCAAGAGACTATTGGTTACTTGAGATTTCAGACAAATCCCTGTTATGTATTCTTGCTCTGCTCCCCATCCTATCCCTCCCACTCTGTCCCCCACCCTGCCCTTGCTCTGCCTACCACTGTGGCACTTGCTCTGATTGCCCCGGACCCCTACTTTCGGCTCTGAGAATAATTAATAAATCCCACCATGATGGTTGATAAAATTTGAATCTAACAAAACTCAGGAATAAAATGCTCATCTGATGGTGACCGTGCAACTCTATCGATTGTCGAACAAGTCCACCCGACTCACTTAATGTCCTTTGCCATCCTTACCTGGGCTGGCCTACATGTGACTCCAGACCCACAGCAATGTAGTTGACTCTTAACTGCCTTCTGGGGCAGTTAGGGATGGGTAATAAATGCTGCGAAATCAACATGCAATGAATGAATTTTTAAAAAAGCAGAAAAACGCTAATATTGATGCAAATGTCATGACATTAATTGAAGTGTACTTGAATCTACACTGTTTACTTGACCGCCACAATAACATGATTAACTATTTAGTTACTAACTGTGTTTTGTTGTGTATCAATGCTGTTGATCTCTCAGACTACATATCCAAAAAAAAAGTTACTTGTTTTAAATCTAGTTGTGAGGCCAATGACATGGGGTAGTATCAAGGTTCATACTCTTGAGTTTCGTCTTCAAGAGGCATTTCCTTCTTCAGCTTAAGTATGCCTTGTTCTTTTCTGTTGCTTAGTAAAAAATGAAGCTGTTTAGAGAAATGGAAGACACTGATGAGTGACTAATCCTCCAAGTATTTCCTTTAGCTGCCTGTTTACGACTCTCATGCTGCCTTATAAGTGCATTGGAAGATTACAAATTGTGTGTGCACCCTATGGGAGACAAGCTCTGTCTTAAAAAAAAGAATTAATCGAATTTGGAAAACTCCTACTCCACACTAGCCCACCGAAATTCCACATTCATACATTCCCTGTGGTTTGACATCTCACTTGTGCTACGGGGGATCCTAACCCTGTCTCAAGTATCAGAGAGAAACAAATCACTTTTATCAAGGACAGGACGTTGTCGTGTGGTGTCTCACATTTAAAATCTCACGCAGAGGCTGCCACTGGTGACAGATGGAAAGGATGCAGGCTGTGTGGCTTGGGAGTGAGAATGGCACAGTCCAGCAGAGGGAACATTGCAGTCTGTTAAGTAGAGACTTTAATTTGAGAAAAATGGCCTGAATGTTTTTGGCTGTACACCAGAAACGAGGAATCTTTGTTCTTGGAAAACCAGGCAGTTATCTACCATTTTCCAAGAATTGGTGAGGCTCCTTGGCACCAGAGTGTAGTTGAAAAAGTTCAAGGTTTATGTAACCCATTTGCCGAAAGTACACTTTTGTAACATTATTGAGGAACAGAACATTAACCACATATAGCCCTAGCTTTCAAGGCAGCCATTAGACATCATGTGTACACTATTTAAAATGGTGTACGTGATTAGCACTTCACACAACTAACTCTGATGCCATGACTGGTGGCTGCTCCACGACCTTTGCGTTGACCCTGAATATTTCCAAAATCCAAAAACAAGGAAATAGAAGCGTGAAATTAGAGCCAGGTGTAAAGGAATGGATTTGGGAAGCACTTTTTACACAAAAGTGTGGTGAAAGTTTGAAATTCACTGTCTCAATTGGAATGTTCAAGACCGAGATTGATAGCTTTTCGTTATGTCCTTCAAATCTGCTGCCATTTATGGATAGATGTGTGGTCTTCGCACCACTGCTTGAGCATGAACTCCATCTACTCCACAAAACCAATCAGACTGTTTCACTTCACCTCTGAAGTAAATACCCATATCTGCCACCATTAAGAGCTGTTCCTTGATCTGCCTTGCTCCTGGTTTCTGGCACACACCTTACTGCATTTACCCTACTTTCAGAAGTCTTTTGAACATACAAAATAGGAGCAGGAGTAGGCCATTCGGCCCTCTGAGATGTTCTGTCATCTAACAAGTTCAAGGCTGATCTTCTGTCACAAACCAGCCTTAGATCCAGCATCCAAAAAAAGTCAAACTATCTTTATTTTGAACAAAAGGACAAGCATCTGGTCCTTCATTTATTGCAGAAGGATGCTTCTCGGCCCAACTTGATTATTTTCTTCCTTGCTTGGTGGCCTATTGGTATCTCAAAACACTCAGAAATTCCCAGTTGCCCAACTTCATTTTTTAAAATTCTTTAATGGGATGTAGGTGTCGCTGCTGAGACCAGTATACTTTTGCCTATCTCTAATTGCCCTTGAGCTGAGTGGCTTGCTTGACTATTTCAGAGGGCATTTAAGAGTCAACCACATTGCCGTGGGTCTGAAGTCACGTACAGATAAGGATTTGACGGTGTTAATTTCCTATAAGGGATTAGTGAACTAGATGAATTCTTACAACAATCAATGAAAGCATCATGGTCACCATTCTACGTTTATTAATCAAATTTAAATTCCACCAGCTGCTGTGGTGGGATTTGAACCTATATCCCCAGAGCATTAGCCTGGGCCTCCTGATTACTAGTCCAACAACATTACCACTATGCCACAATGTACCAAAAAGAACCCTTCTTAATGGAAACGAAGATAATTTTTCTCACTGTTTGCTTTATCCACTTCTTTTTTTGCTTTTATTCAGTCATGGATGAGGGTGTCACTGACTGTGCTAGCATATATTGCCCATCCCAGAGGGCAGTTAAGAGTCAACCACCTTGCTGTGGGTCTGGAGTCACATGTAGTCCAGTCTAGGTAAGGATGGCAGTTACCCTCCCTAAAGGACATTAGTGAACCATCTGCCATGGCGGGACTCAACCTGGGTCCTCAGGACATCAACTGGGTCACTGTATTAAGGGTCTAGCCATTATACCACTAGGCCAACACCTCCGTGATATAAAACTGTTTCTGATCAAACAAATCCTCGTTATCACCACATGGACTCCCTCTCTCAAATTGGATTTTAAAAATTCTGGATCCAGAAATAGTGAAAACTTAATTATCGCACTGTCTCATAGACACAGACCAAAACCCACATGCCACTAGTTCAGAATCCAAATTCTAAAATAAATCATATATTTATATAAATGATACACCTTGCATCACACAGGGTAAAATGCAAGTGAGAGAATGCTCACCGCACATCCAGTCATAGAGAATATCAGGCCTGCTATAGGAAGGATATTATTAAATTGGAGAGGATTCAGAAAAGATTTACCAGAATGTGGTAGACTGGAGAGTTTGAGTTATAAGGAGAGGCTGGATAGGCTGAGACTTTTTTTCAACTGGAGCGTAAGAGCTTGTGATGTGACTTTATACCCCTCTTGACTTTATAAACATCTATAGATAAGCATTCTGAAGGGTGGGGGAGATCAAACCTTGGGGGCATATTTTTAAGGTAAGAGGAGAAAGATTTAAAAGGGACCTGAGGGGCAACTTTTTTATGTAAAGGGTGGTTCGTACATGGAATGAACTGCCAGAAGAAGTGGTAGATGCAGGTACAGTTAAGACATTTCAAGAACATTTGGACAGGTACATGAATAGAAAGTGTTTGGAGGAATATGGGCCAAACGCCGGCAAGTAAGAATAGTTTAGTTTGGGAAACTTGGTCAGCATGAACGAGTTGGACTGAAGGGTCTGTGTCCGTGCTGTATGATTCTATGACCCTATAGATGTTCAAAGTGGAATTTATTAGGTGCATTATTCTGTCTGCCTTGAATGGTGAGGAATGCAGATTATTTACTGTTAGATATTTAGCGTAAAATTATGCTTCAGGAACTCAAGGTTAAGTATTACTGAAGAAAAGAGAATTGAGATAAAAAAATTAAAATTTACTTAGCACTAATGTTTCTCGATCACCACATGGGATTTTTAAAAAGATGTTTAAAATAATTATGTATGATAGCAGAGATTACAGAGGAGTGTTAGCAACATGGGTAGGCAATGTTGTCCCCTCAGAACAGTTCAATTGTAGTTCACTCATTTAAGGACCCAACCTCATGCTGGTTCAGATTAATCATGGGCAGGAAACATTTGCATCTTCTTCCTACACAATATACTTTAGCAAAAACAGAGTTTGCTTTGCAGCCATCCTCTGTAGCATTCGACATTGAGTTATGGGAATTGTAGCTACGAGTTTATTAATTTACAACTAGTATATCACCTGTCCTACCAAAACATGCTGTTAAACCCAGAATATGAGTTGGATTGAAATGAATATAACTTTCATTCACAGAATTATCGACAAGAGTTGGAGGCAAAATTTTACAATGACACCTTTGACTGGGACCAAATCCATCACAATGATGTTGCATGCCTGCTGAAGACCTTCATCCGAGAACTGCCCTACCCTTTACTTACTGCGGAATACCTTCCAGCATTTGTCGCTGTGCAAAGTATGACTTGTTAACTTCAGTATATTTCAGTCGTCTTTTCATTTTTGTGACAGTGTCTCTGTCCTTGCAGAAGTGCTCACACATAAGCATTCTTCACTCTCCGCCCCACATTCAACAATATGTTGATGTTCGAAACATGAAAGAGTTTGCATTTCAAGTATTTTGTGCCTTTTGTTTTTGTCTGCCAGCTATAGCCATAATGGTCTGGACCTTGTAATAGTAATGACGGTGAAGTTGTTAATGTTCCATCACAATGTTACTCGTCTGAATCTGATTACCTCTGGAGCCCAGCCGTATGCAATTAAATGTACTAGTCAGAAAGTTGCCTGTGATTTTGTGTGATCCCATTTTGTGCCCAGTTGAAATCCTCACAGACTACTATCAATTGGAAATTACTGAACTACCAATGCTGTGCCTTTTAATATTGTTGATCCCAATCTTTGAAAATGTTGCACCTTGTTGAATGATGTGTAATTTCATTTTAATGATGTACTAATCTCATAATTAGTGCTGAGCTGCCTCAGTGGTGCCCAACTAATTAAGTTTTGAAAATTACCACAAAATGTTACATTTTAAAATGTTTGTTTAATATTTTGGCTTCTAAATCCATCGCATGTGCATACCCCAATCATTTCCTTATCTAAAACTTACTGAAAATGATGGATAATTCATCATTTTATTTCCTGGTTTGCGGTCTGTGAGAATACTTCAATGTGATTGGCTGCTTAGTCTGTTCGATGCCATCATTGGTGCTGGATAACTTGAAATTTCCTTGCCTTGGTGCAAGATTCTAAATTAATATCAGAAAAGAAGGAATTGTGCCATGGAGATCATCTGGTCATCATGTGTGGCTTACCTTGAGATGGTAGCTGTTACTTTGCCGTTGCCAGTGAAATCTGGGCTGGTATTATGTTCTGGTGGTGCCAGCTGTTCTATTTGACCAAATCCCAGCCAAACGCTGGTGTAATTTTTCTGATTGGGGTTGGAAGATTTGAGTGGCCAATAAGAACTGGCCTTGCAAGTTATCTCCTCCTCTTGTAATCGATTTGATGCTGGACTTCTTCCAGCAGATAGATTTCTTTAAATCAGTTCTGTCAGCGTTTTTGCTGTCACAGAGAGTTGTTAGCAGACTTGCTTGTACTGGAATGAACATGAGATTAAATCCCACAATGTAACTTGTGGAACTGAAATCAATGTACCTTATGAGCTAAAACCACAATAGCCTAAAAATCCCACTGTCCCTCAGGAAATGGAATGTCATCCATCCACAGTGTGTTCTCCATGTGACTCCAATTTAAGCTTTTTCAATAATCACTACTCAGACTGAGTGATTGCTGACCTCCTGAGAACAAGTTTTGTTTTTAAGAAATCTAACAGGCATTGTAAAATTATAGAGATCACTGTTTGCTGTTCTTTGATAATCAAGCCTCTCAAAATTTTGTCAAATGGAAACATAATCAAGAGAATTTTAAGAATTATTTTAAAGTGTTGCAATAGCAGTCCAGTGACAGGGGAATGAAGGTTCTGCATAATTCACTGAGGTGCAGTAAACTTTCATTTATAGAATCCCTACAGCGTGGAAGCAGGCCATTTGGCCCATCAGGCCCACACTGACTCTCTGAAGAGTGTTGGAACCCCCTACCCATGCATTTTCCATCTAGCCTGTGTATCCCTGGACACTATGGCAATATAGCATGGCCAATCACTTAGCCTGCACACCTTTGGACTGTGAGAGGAAACCAGAGCACCCAGAGGGTAACTGTACAGACATGGAGAGCGCGTGCAAACTCCACACAGATAGTTGTCTGAGACTGGCATCAAACCCAGGTCCCTGTTACCATGAGGTAACGGTGCTAACCGCTGAGCCATTAAGCCACCCATAAGGTCACCTCTCTTATAAATTGTTGCATGTTCAGTTCATGAAAAAGTGCATTTAAATATATAACTGACCCACTAGAAGCCTGGTTTTAAGGGTGAAAAATGGCTGATGACTGAACATTCATCAACACCGAAACCATCAGAATGAAAGGAAAAAAGCTTTGTATGAATATCGAACCTTTCATAACTCCAGAATGTCCCAAACCATTTTAAAGATGATGCTTTTGAATTGTAGCTGTTGAACTTACGTAGAGCTGCTAGTTTGTACACAGCAAAATCCCACGGGCAGAAGTTTGATCATGACTGGCTAATCTGTTTTCAGATGTTAGTAATGGGCTAAGTATTGGTGGAGGCACCAGAAAGAGCTTCTTTGTGCTTGGTAGATTCAGTAGTTGGTTAGCTGGACGGTTGCTTTGCAATGCAGAGTGACGCCAACAGCATGGGTTCAATTCCCACAACATCTGACATTACCATAAAGGACACTTTTTCTCAGCACCCCTTTGCCTGGGGGTTGTCTGACTTCAGGTTAAACCACCATTGTCTCTCTCTAATGAGAAAACAACCTATGGTCTGGTAAGACTATGGCAACTTTACCTCGACTTAGCTTGGGATCTTTTACATTTGTGTGAGAGACAGTTAGAATGTTGGCTTCATTCTAAGATATAAAAGAAAAGTTTTCCTGTCTGTTTATGCAGAAAATGAGGGTTTTACACCTGCACAACTATCTTTGTTTTGGTTTCAGATATCTCACCGACCAAGTTGCAGATACAAGCTCTACATCTAATCATCATGTTACTGCCTGATCCCAATAGAGACACTATCAAGGTACGTATGACTAAAAGGGAAAGAATTTGACCCTGAGTTGATGTTCAACCTAAGAAGGTGAATGACAGAATGTATCGGTGGTTGGCTTAACTGCCCTCTAAAATGGCCCAGTAGGATACTCCATTCGAAGGAAACTAGGAATGGGCAGCCCATGAAAAGATTTTAGAAAAAAATGTTGCAACATTTTGTAGTGGTTGTGTTACTGAGCCTGTAATCCAGAGTCTGGGACTAATGATCAAATCAGGAGTTCATGTCCCACCACAGCACACTGGATAATTTAAATTCAGTCCATTAAATAAAAGGTTGATCTCAGTGACCGGTTCCCTCACAGTTTTAGGGCCGTATAGCTGCTCTGAGGGAAGGCAGACACCGATTACAGCCCTGACTTCTGGTTCTGGAGAAACAGCGGGACCGTTGTCAGAAATGTTACTGAGAAGCAACTAGATTATCAGTAAAAACCTGTTGGCTGCCCTTGCTCTGCCTTAGGTGTGACTCCAGGCCCATAGCAACGTGGTTGACTGAAATGGCTCGGCAAGTCACTCAGTTGGTACCAAGGATTAAGAAGGCGCCTCACTATCACCTTCTCAAGAGCAAGGGGCAGCAGTGTAGTGTTGTTGTCACTGGACTAGTAATCCATTAGACCCAGGCTGATACCAAGGATGTCGGTTTAAATACCGCAGTGGCAGCTGGTGAAATTTGAATTTGGTGTAAATCTGGAATTAAAACGTTAGCCTAATCACTGTTGGATGTTGTAAAAACCCATCTGGTCCTTACCTAGTCCAGCCTGTAGCAATGTGGTTAGCAGCCTTCTGAACAGACCTAATAGGGAAAGGCCACAAATGCTGACACAGCCAGTGGCTGCTGAGTTGAAGCAAGTTATTACAATCTCAATGATCTCAAACTTCATATGCGTCCAATTTCTCACATTTACGATTATTCACTTGCTAGCTACAACTTGATCCGTTTTCTTTTCAGTGACAACAAATAAAATCCATTATTCTTTATTCATTCATGGGATGAGAGCATTGCTGACTAGGCCAGCATTTATTGCCCGTTCCTAATTGCCCCGAGGGCAGTCAAGAGTCAACCACATTGCTGTGGGTTTGGAGTCACATGTAGGCCAGACCAGGTAAGGATGGCAGTTTCCTTCTGTAAAGGACATTAATGAACCAGATGGATTTTTCCCAAAAGTCAGCAAAGGATTCATGGTCATCATTACACTCTTAATTCCAGATATCAATTGAATTCAGATTCCACCATCTGCTGTGGTAGGATTTGAACGCAGGTCCCCAGGACACTACATCGTCTCTAGAGTAACAGTCCTGCGATAATACCACTAGGCTATTGCCTCCCCTAATGTCCTGTGGTTTGATAAAACATCGCTCACCATGTAGTGAGCAGCAATCACAATGTGCAGATCTCACTCCTCAAGTAATCCAGCACCCAACTAGAATTGATGACCCTCTGTATTTTGGATAAAATCCTTGGGAGCAACGTAACAATATCTGGGAGTTGGGTGGAGGACAGGAGAGTGGGACTAATTGGGTCACTCATGGAGCTGTACAGACTTGGACAAGCAAAGCATGTCCCTGTCCTCATAGAATCATAGAATCCCTACAGTGTGGAAACAGGCCCTTCAGCCCAACAAGTCCACACTGAACCTCAGAGCATCCCACCCAGATCCATCCCCTTCAAGCCACCTAACCTACACATCCCTGAACACTATGGGCAATTTAGCATGGCCAATCCACCTAACCTGTGAAGTGAACAGCCTGAACTCTATACCAGCAAAGTGAAGGTCTCATTAGTTGGCAGGATTGAAAAGTAGCTTGTTATTAGAAAGTAAACGAAAATTTCAGTTAATATTTCTTTGCCTTTTCACAGTTCATTCACAGTTGGTCCAAAATTCCTTAATCAGAGTATTATAGTTTGATTTCATATAAAATATATTCCCAGTGAACTGTTTACAAATATTGGGAGCAGCATGGCACCCAAATCTTAGGACACTAAGTTCTCTGAAAATTGGGTAGAACTAGGAATGCAAATTGAATTTCTTTTCCATAAAACAGCAAGTGGCAAGTTCTGAGAGGCAAGTTCATTAAAAATTGAATTAATCCACTTCTGTCTGCTGCCTCCCACTCCCCCCTCCTCCTCCCACTCCCCCCTCCTCCAGGCTTTCTTGGAATATCTCAGCAAGGTTGTAGCGAATGAAGCCAAAAACCGAATGAGCCTGTGGAATGTCTCCATGATTGTCGCCCCGAACCTCTTCATGTGCAAGGGGAGGACTGGAAACCATCAAGAAGCAGAGGCCGCTACCAAAGCTGCCAACATTGTACAGCTTCTCATCAAATATCAGGACATCCTGTGGACCGTGAGTGAATGCATGGCACCCAGCGCTCTGCACTACTTCCTTTCAGCTTTGTGCAAGTCGGCCACGAATTCACATCCAAGTCAGAAAAATGTGCTGCCAATCCTGGTCAGGCTTTGCCAGTTTCCTGGGGTATGCCCGAGAATATCCAGGAATTAAACACTAATTTCCTGGATACTGGTATGAGCAAACCAGGAGAAAATTCACAGAGGCAATAAAATAATGTTATTTTCAAAATTTCATTTTTAAAACTTATTTTTTACAACCAGCAAGCCAAAAAGAAACCAGTGGGGCCCAGGAATAAAGGGTGGCGTGGAGTATTGGATATAGAAAGCTCCCATCATCCTGGAGGACCATAGGACAGCTCTCTCATTAGAAAGAGACAAGAACAAAGAAGAATACAGTACAGGAACAGGCCCTTCAGCCCTCCAAGCCTGCACCGATGTGCTGCCCGTCACAACTAAAACCCCCTACCTTCCAGGGACCGTATCCCTCTATTCCCATCCTATTCGTGTATTTGTCAAGACGCCCTTTAAAAGTCACTACTGTATCTGCTTCCACTACCTCCCCCGGCAGCGAGTTCCAGGCACCCACCACCCTTTGTGTAAAAAGCCTGCCTCATATATCACCTTTAAACCTTGCCCCTTGCACCTTAAGCCCATGGCCCCTGGTAACTGACTCTTCCACAGCTGGTGGTGAGTTTAAACTGTGGGTCACTATTCTTCAGGTGAAGGGTGAAGTTGAAAAGGAGGGACCTTTGTGGTGATCTCAGCCAGTGTAGGAATTGAACCTGCTCTGTTGGTGTTATTCTACAGCACGAACCAGCTGTCTGGCCAACTTACCTAACTGACCCTCATCCAGCTGAGTAATGAAGTGGCAGTTCACTTTCTGGCAGGAGTAGGCAGGTGCAGACAAATAATAAATGTACAGACAATAGGGGGAAAAAAAACCGCAGCTAATTCTTTTCAAAGCCTTGTGATTCTCCTCCTGGTTTGCTTGCTGCATCATTTGGGATGTTCATATTTTGTTCCTGAAAACCCAAAGGCCAATGTTGGAGAATGATCAATTTAATAACAATTGAATAATTTATTCTGATTGCTGTATGAAACTATATAGGTTCTTAAATTTGTCTTTGTCTCGAACATACGTTTTTATGACCGGATTGGGTGAACCCAAGAGCAGATGGAGTGGGTCATTTGGTCCATTAATCCGGCTCTGTCATTCAACAAAATCTTTTTATTATTTATTTGTTCATGTAATGCGGGTATCACTGACTGGGCCAACGCATATTTCTCATCTCTAATTGTTCTTGAAAATAGTGGTGTGGTGTCACTTTAAACACTATAGTCCTTGGGGTGTAAGAATGCCCATGGTGCTGTTAGAGAGGGAGTTCTAGGATTTTGACCTAGCGACACTGAAAGAGCGGCCGTATGTTTCCAAGTCAGGATGGTAAGTGGCTTGGTGGGGAACTTACTAGCTATTGTTACTCTTGGTGGTAGAGTTGGTGGGAAAGTGCTGTCCTAGGAATCTAGCTACTGCAGTGCACCTTTGCAGATGGTACCCTGAGCTATCATTCTGAGTCAGTGGTGGATATTGAAGGTGGAGGACGGGGTGCTGATTAAGTGTTCTGCTTTGATCTGGGTGGTGTCAATTTGGGATGTCATGTTGAGGTTGTACAGGATTTTGATGAGACCTCTTCTGGAGTACTGTGTGCAGCTCTGGTAGCCCTGTCATAGGAAGGATATTATTAAACTGAAGAGGGTGGTCGGAAAAGATTTACCAGGATTTTGCCAGGAATGGCGGGTTTGAGTTATAAAAATAAGCATTGGATGTTTATCTGAATGGAAATTGTGTGCAAAGGTGTGGGGGGAGAAAGCAGGAGATGAGCACTAGGTAATAACTCTTCTTTGAAGAGCTGGCACAGGCATGACTGGCACTATAATAATTCTGTGATTCTGAGTGGGGTGCCTCTGACAGTAACTTTTGGAAATTTGAGTTTAGCTGTACGTCAGCCCATCGACTGAAATCGCTGTTCCATTTGTTAGTTTCAAAATCAGTGAACATCACTAGCCTCACTGCTACTTAGAGAGGGACCTCTCTGGGCCAAAAAGTGATGACTGTAGCTTTACTCCTGTCTTTTGCAGATCCCGCCCTTTATGATCGCCCAGGTGCGGAAGATGAACGAAAGTGAGAATCGAAGACGGACCAGAGTGACGTGGCTGAACACGTCTTCGTTTTTCTTCTCTCCACCTTTCAGGGGAAATGGTTCGCCCTCCCCTGGTTCCTCTCCTCGAGGTCGCAACCGAAACCAGGAGCCTGCCTTGTGGGAGGTCCCAGGCGTGAACTCGTGTCCGTCTACTTTGGGACACTGTTTAAAGGTACGCTCCTGTGCCTTGTCATTGGCTTGGCAATATTTCATTCTCTTTTTCCATAAAGTTATCAAACCTCACATTACAGAAGGAAGCCATTTCACCCATTGTACCTTTTCTGACTCTTCGAAAGACCAGGCCTGACCCCTCAAGACGTTTTGTCAATGGTTTGAAATCTGTGGTTATTAACTCATTCATCAGAGAGAATAGTTCTTCTCTATCAAAACTGTCATCTTGAAATCACTAGGTCACCTCTTAACCTTTCTCCTTTGCTTGGTAACATCCTGGTGTGTCTTCTTTCGAAGGACTTTTTTTTCCTTATATATGGTGACCAGAGATGTCCACAGTGCTGAAGCTATGATCTTATGAAGGTGATATCTTTACTTTTCTATCTGCCTTTTACGATCAGATCAATTTGGTACTTAGTAATTAAGCCAAATGTTTTTCTAAATTCTTTCACGTGGACATTACAGGTGAGGTCAGCATTTCCTAGAATCATAGAATCATATGGTACAGACAAGGCCCTTTGGTCCATCGGAGATAGTAGGAACTGCCGATACTGGAATCTGAGATAATACAGTGTGGAGCTTGAGGAACATAGCAGGTGGGAGGAGCGGATAGGTGGGAGAAAAGACAGACACGCCAAGGAGGGATCTGGTTCCGTAGGCAGGTACTGAGAAAGGTGATATGGCTGTAGTACCTGGTTTGCTTCAGGACGTGTTCGAGCAGTTTCAGGGCCGAAGGGATTACCAGAGGGTTGCAGTGGGAGAGATCCACTGAGGTACTACAGCCACATTGCCTTTCTCAGTACCTGCCTACAGAACCAGATCCCTCATTGACCTGTCCGTCTTCTCTCCCACCTATCCGCTCCTCCCACCTCACTGACCAATCCCCACCCCAACTTCCCACCTACACTCACCTTTACTGGCTCCATCCCCACCTCCTTGACCTGTCCGTCTTCGCTCCCACCTATTCGCTCCACTATCCACCTTCTATCACCGCCTCCCCCTCTCTTTATTTACTTCAGAGCCCCCTTCCGCTCCCCCATTTCCGAAGAAGGGTCCTGACCCGAAACCTCAGCTTTCCTGCTCCTCTGATGTTGCCTGGCCTCCGTTGGTCCATCAGGTCTGTGCCATTAAAAATACACCAAATCTACACTAGTCCCACTAGGCTCATAGCCTTGAATGTTATGACACTTGAAGTACTTTTGTAAAGGTTGTGAGGTTATCCACCCCTGAGACGTGCAATCCTCACCCCCACATCTCACTGCGTAAAAAAATGCTCCACAAGACCACTCTGAACCTCCTGTCTTAAAAGTGTGTTTTTTTGTTGTTATTGACTGTTCAACTAATGGGAATAGCTGCTTTCTATTCACCCCGTCCTTGTCCCTCATAATCCTATACACCTCAATCTGGTCCCTGCTCGGGCTTTTCTGCTCCAAAGAAAACAACTCGAGCTTATCCAGCCTCTCTTACTTGTGAAATGCCCCATCCCAGGCATCATCCTGGTGAATCTTCTCTGCAGCCCTCTCCAGTTCAATCACATCCTTCCTATAGTGTGGTGACCAGAATTATACACTGTAATCCAGCTGGGGCCTAGTACGTAACTTTTAGTGACACCACGCCTGAGGAAGGAGCTGAGCTCGGAAAGCTTGCGTTTCCAAATAAACCTGTTGGACTATAACCTGGCGTCGTGTGATTTTTGATGTTGTCCACCCCAGTCCAACACCGGCATCTACTCATCCTGCCACTGAATCAATTTTGGATCTAACTTGCCAAGTTATGCTGGATCCCATGTCCTTTTACCTCCGATATCAGTTTCCCATGCGGGTGCTTGTCAAAAACCGTGCTGAAATCGGTATAAACTGTATCAACTGTACTACCCTCAGACACACACATAGCTGCCCTTGAACTGATTTCTGAGGTAAGAGTCGTATAGTACCTGGAGTCACATGTAGGTCGTGCCAGGGAAGGCTGGCAGCGGGGGATTTCAGGATAATCAGCGGTAGTTGCCATGGTTACTATTACAAAGACCAGCTTCATTCCACACTTTACCGATTGGATTTAAATTTCCGCCAGCTGCCACGGTGGGATTTGAACCCATTTCTACAGGCCTGGCCAGCATCTCCCCCATAATATAACCAGCTTACAACTGCTGAGTGAACGTCGTCGGTTAAAATAAAGGATATGGCAGGTGTGTGGGAAAATAATCAGTGCGACTTTGAAAATGATTTTGTCGTTTTACGTTGCAGTCGGACATACCCGAGGGAGTCATCCGTGTTTATGCCACTCAACTATCAAAGGTTTCCATGGCCATTCAGCTGGACAGTGAGACCAAAGCAAGTGATATTCTTGCTCGGTTTCACTGTGAAAACAGGTGAGCTCATCAAAACAATATCAATGCGAATGATCTTTGGGGAATTTTAAATAACTCATCGTCACAGACGTATTATGGTTTAGAAGGAGGCCATTTTGACCCATTATGCCTGCACTGGTTTGTTAAATAGGCATTGTTACCTAGTGCCAAATCTACTGTCTTTCCCCCAGGCCCCTGCACACTGTCTCTATCCAAATAATCGCCCTGCTGAATGCCTGAAGTGAACCTGCCTCCACCACACTTCCAGGCATTGCCAAATCTACTTGATGAGCGATAATAGGTTTTCCTCACTTCGCCCTCATTCCTTTCACAGATCGCTTTAAATTTATGTCTACTTGTTCTTGCTCCTTTTAAAAACAGGAACGGTTTCTCCTATCCAACCTGCTCATAACCCCTTTTAGCCGCCGCCTCTTCAAGGAGAACAGTCCCAATCTCTTCAACCTGCCCTCATAACTGAAGTTCCTCATCCCTGGAACAATCCTTGTCAATCACTTCTACACATTCCCCGGTGTGCTCACATTCATCCTGTAATATGGTGCTGTGACAAAATGTGCCTTTAAGAGAGATTTTGTCTGTCCTGCTTCTCTTGAAGAGAGGTGTTGTTAACCTGGTGCCGAGGTGTCTGCTCCATGGAAAGCAGAATAAATAGCCTTTGGGGTAGCCATTTCTGAAGAAGGGTCTAGGCCCGAAACGTCAGCCTTCCTGCTGCTCTGATGCTGCTTGGCCTGCTGTGTTCATCCAGCTCTACACCTTGTTATCTCTAAATAACCTTTGGGTTTGTTTTTAAAATTAGACAAAAGAAGCGTGAGTGGGTGGACTCCATAAGACCATAAGACATAGATCCAGAAGTTAGGCCATTCAGAATCAGGCTTACACGGACCAAGGGTTTTCGTTTTGTTTTCAGTTGTTGAAGTTGCAGTTGTTGAAGTTGAAGCTGCTAGATACAGCTTGCTGTCTGCTGCTACAAAAAGCTTGACTTCATAGAATCCCGACAGTGTGGAAACAGGCCCTTTGGCCCAACAAGTACACACTGATCCTCAGAGCATCCCACCCAGAACCATACCCCATTAATCTACATGTCCCTGAACATTATGGGCAATTTAGCACGGCCAATCCACCTAACCTGCACATCTTTGGAGTGTGGGAGGGAACCAGAGCACCCGGAGGAAACCCACGCAGACACGGGGAAGAATGTGCAAACTCCACACAGACAGTCACCCGAGGGAATCGAATGTGGGTCCCTGGTGCTGTGAGGCAGCAGTGCTAACCACTGAGCCACCGTGCCGTCCCATCCCACTACCTCTCACAGAGACTTCTGCTTCATGCTTTCAGTTTCTCCTTTTTCGTGGGTGGGAAAAGATAGCAAGTGGGCGAATCTGTTTTGCTGAATTTGCCTTTGCCAAGGGTGTATTTATGGGATGCTGCAATATTGGAACAGTTGATGAGTATTTTTATTAAGTATATATAGGTGATTAAGTATTTTGATAGAGCTAAAGTTGTGTCATTGATTTTTAGTTTTGTTTGTGTTTTCACTGTGGTGTAAGAATAAAATTTGTTTTGCTTAAAGCCTAGTAGATTGACCAATTGAATCATTTCGGGAGTGCAGCGCCTTACACTTGCCTTTAAATAAGCTAAAAGTTAGGGCGTAGGTCATTTCCTTATATTTTTTGAAGGGGTTTGATCTGGTCCATAACAGGTGCCCACACTATACACAATACTCCAGCTGAGCTCTAATTGATGGAAATTCTTTTCAATTTGTGTGCCATGATTGGTCTAAACCAGATAAGGATTAACTCACAATATTTGTGTAGTCAGATATAGTCAGGTTGTGAATAAAACACACATTGTTATAACTTCAATTCTCAGAATGCAGACAGAGTATTTTACTCAAACAGTCATCTGTTTCACAAGAAAGAAATTGTACCATTTGCTTTATTTTGTTTTCTTTGGAGAGGAGCGAAATGAGAGGCCATCAATGTATGACAGTCACCAAGAAATATAACAGGGAATTCGAGAGAAAAAAATATCTTTACTCAGAGAGGTGAGATTGTGTACCTCTGTCACAGGGAGTAGTTGGGATGAATGGGCTAGATGCTAAGTAAGGTAGAAGTAAAGAAAGGATATGCTGATAGAGTAAGATGGGAGGAGGCTTGAGTTGAACATTACACAGACATGCAAGAGGATGGCTAGACTGTTTCTGTGCTGCATATCCTATTGAATTCAAAACAACTTCTGTACTGATTATTCAGACAACATCTCTTGTATTGATTCTCTTGATTACGCAGCTATAATCTGTAACTAACTGACCTCAGTCACGGCAGCAAAATAGACATTGTGATTAATCTCAGTGAGCAGGATTAGCAACTACAGAAGTTCCTTATAGGTTTCACTGATTGTTATCCATTGATTCGATAATCACCTAGCCAACAATGTTTCAGTGTGATATGAAGCATGGCCACACGGACAAGATAGCAGAGAATCATAGGAAAATAGAAACAGGAGCAGACCATTCAGCCCTTTGAGCCTGTTCACCATTCAACAAGAACATGGCTGATCTGTGGCTTAATTGTAAATTCCTGCCTTTGGCTCATATTTCTTAAAGCCATCTCTCTCAGATTTAGAATTAAGAACTGATCCTGCATCTACTGCCTTTTGTGGAAAAGAGTTCTAAATATCTACCACCCTTTGCGTGTAAACGACCTTCCTATCATCTCTCCTGAACGGTTCGGTGGGATCCTCATTCTTCAGGAACAGCAAGGGTCTTCAAGATTGCAGGAAACAGGGAAAGAGCATCAAATTCCTCAGGGCAAAAAAAAATGATTTCAGGAATGTAAAAACACCAGTTTTGAAGCAAAGTTGGAGCAGAAAGCAATGAGAGAGAGCCTCATCCTTTCTTGTACAAGGAAAGGCACCTGTTTGATGGGCTGAATGGCCTATATATGTAGTGTAAAAGCTCCATGCACGAACGGAGACTTTGCACGTTCATGGGATGTAGACGTTGTTGGCAAAGCCAGCGTTAATTACCAATCCCTAATTGCCCTTTAACTCAGTAGCTTGTTCGGCCATTCAAGGGGTCAGTTCAGAGCCAATTTTTGTTTTAATCATTCACGGAATGTGCGCATTGCTAGCTGGACCAGCATTTATTGCCCTTCTCTAGTTGCCCCCGAGAAGGTGGTGCTGAGCTAGAGTCACATGTAGGCTGGAACAGATAGTGATGACAGACTTCCTTCCCGAAGGACATTAGTGAACCAGAGTTTTTATGAAATTAGTGGTAGGTTCATGACATCGTGACAGAGCCTAGATTCTTCAATTTAATTTAATGTCTGCCTGCTGTTGTGGTGGTGACTTGGCAAAGTGGGATTTGAACCTCTGTCCCTGGGTCATTTGGCGTGGGCCTCTGGATTACTAGTGACATTATCGGCATGCACCATCTCACCCTAAATCAGAGTCTTTATTTGTAGCTCATTGGTAAAATATGAGCATGCACATTAGGAGCAGGAAGAGGTCATTTGTCCTCTTGAGGTTGCTGTTTCCTCACTCAGTGAGCTCATGGCTGATCTAATTACTCCTCATATCCCTCCTAACCTTTCACCTACTTTTTTCTTGATTCAGGATAGAAATACCAAATGTCCAAAAAATGCATAAGTGGCACAGTCAGAGTGAAATCCGGACCAAATGATAAATGTTGTAGGAAATATCTGAGTAGGAGGATAAAGGCCACGTTTCACAGCGAATGAATTCATATTGACCTACAGTCCAAAACCAAAAATAAATTCATCTTTTTAGGCTGTGCTGATTGATAAATACCTGAGGCAGTAGGAGAGCTCCCTACTCAACCTCGAACAATGCAGCTTAGAAGGAGGCTATTCAGGCATCATACTTGTGCCATGCTGTGTTTCAAATTACTCCTTATTCCAATCCTGACCTGCACCGAAGTCTCATTTATACAAGGCTCCCTGTCACAAATGGATTCTCAGTTAAGCAACACCTCAATTTTAAAATTCCCGTCTTTTTTACCAACTCTCCCATGGCCTCAATTCTCTCTGTTTCTGTATTCTCATGTGGAACCACAATCCATCATGCTGTCTGAGCTCTTCCAATTCCTGTCTGTTTGAGTATCATCACCATTTTGCCTTGAGCTGCCAAGGCCCTAAACTCTGGAATTCCCTGCCTAACCCTCTCCTCTTTCCACGTTTCTTTCCTCCGTTATGTGACCCTTAAGACCTTCCTTTCCAGCTAAACTTTTGGTCCATCATCTGCCCTAGTATCTCTTTCTATGAGTTGGTTTTACACCACTCCTGTGAAGTACCTGAGGATGTTTTATTCCATTACTAGTGCTCCATAAATACAAGCTGTTGCTGGGATCTTCTGTGTCTACCAGGCAGGCAGGACCTGTTTCAATGTACCATCTGAAAGGCATGAGCTCTGAGAATGCAACATTTTATCATTGATTCAGGCTTCCAGCTATATCAAGCTGACACATATACCTGCACAAGTGATAGGACAAAATGGATTTCTAATTCAGGTGGATTGTAGCGTGGTTGTCCACAAAGAATATGAATTCTTTTAAAGAATGTATAGGATAACATTCCCTTCCTTCTGCTGTATTTGGGGAGGCAATGGCCTAGTGGTATTATTGCTGGACTGTTAATCCAGAGACCCAGATAATGTTCTGGGTATCCAGGTTTGAATCCTGCCATGGCAGATGGTGGAATTTGAATTCAATAAAATATCTGGAATTAAGAATCTAATAATGACTATGAATCCATTGCCGATTGTTGGAAAAAACCCATCTGGTTTACTAATATCCTCTAGGTGAAGGAAACTGCCATCCTTACCTGGTCTGGCCTACATGTGTCTCTGGACCCACAGCAATGTGGTTAACTCTGAACCGCTCTCTGGGCAATTAGGGATGGGCAATAAATGCTGCCCAGCCAGTGATGCCCTCATCCCATTAATGAATTTTTAAAAATTCGTCCAGCTTCACCTTAAATGCATCTTTGGTGAGTTACCTCAACTACTTCCAGTGTTAGCAGGTTCCATGGTCTAACAACTTGTGGACTAAAATGTTTTATTTCTGAATTTCTTGTGGGATTCATGTCTTCTAGTTCTCGTCTTACTTGGAAGTAGAAACATCTTTTTCTGTGTTTATGCAATTCAAATCTTTCATCATCTTGACAATCTCTGTTAGGGTCATCCCTCAGTCTTCTCCTTTCAAGAGAAAAGGATTACAGCCTATTCGAAATCTTTCCAGGTTAGGTGTAACCTCTCAGTTCTGGCTTTCTTAAAGGAATCTATTTTTGTACCTTTTTCAATGCCTGTACATCCTGTTTTCAAAAAATAACTTTATTTACTGAGTGAGTTGAGCCATTGGATTGGTTTTAAAATGATTGATGGATCAGTATCCTGAAGTGACCTAAAGACCAGCTCTTAAAATGGCTGAATGTTTGCATAAGTCCACCTTGCAATTTATGAAGTTATAAAGAGAAGTAGCCCACCAGGATGTTCAGCTGAAATAAGTGTGAATAAGCTGTCACGTTGCTCATTCAGAGACAGCCCGACATAATCTGTCCATTCAGGTGGGGACACTTTAGATGATGGATTCCGTTTGAAGACAAGGCTCCAATGACCATTCAGTCTAATCACTGACCCGGTCCTCCAGTTTGCTGTGACCTTAATTTAGTACCTGGTTAGTTTGTGAATGGAGGTCCTGTGATAGCAACCTAACCCCTTTTATCTTTGGAGCAGACCATGTTTTTTCTTCCCAAGAGTCAGACAGACAACACGTGGGCAACAGCGAGTAAAGGAACTTGTGGTTCCTTTCTCTGGAGCGCCGTGCAAGTGTGTGGCCTACCTGTATCTAACCAGCCAAACACTGCATCTTCAACATAATCTGCATAGTTACTGAGTACAGAGGAAAAACTGCAAGTTAAACAATTTAAACTCCTTCCCCTCTTGTAACCTATTTCTAGATGGACGTGTGAGTTGGAGCATTTTTTAAATTACATGATTTAATTTATCGACGACAAAGGGGTCATTTCCTTTTCAAACTTAGACAAAACCTGTCAGAATCTTCAACAATCACTGCACTCGAAACTGTTAAGTGCTCATGAGATTGATAAATAAATCTGTTTATAATGCCTGTTTAGTCAACTCAGAGGGAGACCACTCCACCTCTTTTGATCTGATTGTAACAATCCTTTAGACAATTTGGAAGCTAGCACTGTCCAGCTCTACTCCAGAGTGCAATCTAACCACGGTCAAAAGTTGCTTATTGTATCCTGTCCAGTCAATAGCTTGCCACATAAAATGCAACTGTTAATATTGTAGGGGAACAGACTCGTGTACTTTCCTCCACTCTGTAATGACGAAGTGAAGTTTAAACGAAAGGAAAAAGAAATTCAAATGTTTTTGAAATTATTGTTAAGAAGTTAATGCGTTTCATGTTTTCAAGTGATCTGCAGCAAACGTTGTATCGAGTTGATATGTGTAACGACTATGGTTAATTATTCGGTGGTTCACACCTCTCAACAAATTCTAAATTAAGCTTGGTTTTTTATTAAATCTTCACAGTACAAATTCTGCAGTTCCTCTTAATGGACAGAGCCATCACTTGTTTGAAATCGGTGGAAATATAGGTAGGTTGTTTTAAAGTTGCTGTCATGTGAACGGATTTGGGAGGAATGTGATGTCTAATTTCTTGCTTGTATCAATCATTATAAATGCCATTTCTTTCTTCCAACCCCGAGGTACTTTTATTTTAAAAAAACGTGATGTACTGTCCCATTGTTGGAAGATTAGCATCAGATTTTGGTTTCAAACAATAGTAACTCTTGTAACATCAAAATAATAAAACAAAGAACTTCAGATACTAAGGATCTGAAACAAATTCAGAAATTGCTGAAGGAACTCAGCAGCATCTGTGGAGAGAAAACAAAATTAACGTTTTTGAGTCCAGTGACCCTTCTTCAGAGCTATTGTATACTCCCCTGCCTGTTTAGAGCTATTGTATACTCCACTGCCTTTTCAGTAGAATGACATTTGACCCATTGTTTTGATGCTGATGTTTTATGCTGCAGGGAAATGCTGCACTGCCGTGCCTTACTAATCAGAAGGCTCTAAGTTTGATCTGAGCCATAGTAGTTTGTACAACTATTAGCCTTATTGTTCCCGGGTTGGACAACAAGAATAGGCCCAAATATTCTGTTGTCCAGAAACTCTTGCCACTCAGTTAGGTGTGCTAATGGAGATCAGCCTGCACCCCGTTGAGTGAAATCCTGCTGACACTCACTATCAGAAATCTTTGGTAGACGTATAAAGAGCAAGAAAGAAATTGCATTTACATAGTACCGATCATAACACAGGATAAGCAAGCTTTTGCAGCCAGAGAAGTGTTGTAATGCAGGGGACCCAATTTATGTGCAGCAAAAATCTACAAACAGCAATTTGATCGTGAACTGACAATCTGTTCCTCATGCATTTAATTTGAAAGAGGAATAATTCCCCCAGGATACTAGGGATAACTTTCCCTGTCCCCTTTGATATAATTGCAATGGAATTTTTACATTGAACTGACGGGGCAATCAGGGCCTGAGTTTTCAGGTTAACTGAAGAGTCACGATTTGTAGGAGAAGTGATGTCTGTCAAAAAGGAAGTCAGCACTTTTAGGTTTTCAGGTTTTATTTCCCTCAGGTGGAGTGAAACAGAAGTTAGAATTTTGACATGGCTCGTCAGAGAGGAAGTTGCGCTGATGGAAGTGACCAAGAGATTGGAAAAGTTGCCACTATCCAGGAACATTCTCTGTGGCTGCTGATGTTCCATGATTTACGTTGTGTGTTTTCTTCTTTGCAGGAGAACGCTGTCTGGACCTCAACACATACATTCTGGACTTGTACCATTTAAATCCCAATGCAACATGGCTCATTAAACCCAGAACATTGTGAGATTGCTTGTTGCAGAGTGATGGGCCATTTAATAATCCACGCACAGTGTTGGTGAATATGACTGCAGGGACCTCTTGAGAATACTAGCTAATTTTACAGTGGTGCCTCTATGTCTAAGGCTTTGAGCTGTTGATAACCGTTACCTGCAGAACACTACCTTCACAGGTGACCATTTGAGAGGTCTCAGTCCTACTGGTCTGGCAAAGCATGTTGCCATTTGATGGGACACCCTCAGCACTAATGGGAGTTTTCACCACTTTGAAGGATTTTTTTCTCAATGCTTCAGCCACCTCTGAAGACTGGAGTCAGTACGAAGTTTTTGCATGACATAAAATAAAACAACTCGCAATAAACTCATCTGGTGGCAATTAAGAACCAAGTTGATCCGCCAGTCACAGCTATTAAAAATGTAGCCTTGAAGGAATGTGCATTTTTAAACAATTGTGTCTTTTTAACCAGACCACACAACTGTGGAAGCAAAAGATATACCAACTACATCTTATTTTCTGTGTTTTTCAGTTGGTGGGGGCATGCAGGGGTTTGCTGGGAGCGATGGTGTCTGCTGAGGACAGCCAAAGAATAAACAAGACAGATGTTGTGTTTTTTTTTCTCTATAAAAAAAAACAGCCATTTCTAGCACCTGGAATCGGTGCCAAATTCCATGCATCCTATCAAGCAGGAAATTTTTACATAAGGAGAGGATGATAGCTGCACCTGCACTAGCAAGGAATTCCTGCCGGAACGTGACTCCCGGACTCTGTTACTTATCTGACTGGAATTTTGTTTTGCAGCAAACTGAAGGCTAGACTTTTGTATTGTGTCCTTTACAGAGTCTTTGTACATACAGAATGATGGATTGCAGCCGCTGCTTTTCAAATCAGAGATTCAGATCAGTTGGAAACAAAACCCTGTGCTTTTAAAATTTATGGGAAGCTGACTGACAGGATGGAAGAAGGAAGGAGCCATTTTTGCTTTGAAACTTGCTCTCCGTGGGACACTGCGACAAATTAATCTTTCTGTTATAGTTCACAATCTCCTGTGCACACAGTAAAACATTCTCTTGTTGTTTTTGACTTATGAATGGAAATTGCGTTAATGCGAAAATTGTGGTATTACCCTATTCTTCTACAATTATTATATTTGGAGTTCGGTCACAGAATGGGCATGATTTCATTGACCGCGGTGGAATGAGGCTCAAAGAGCGAAATGGTTTAGTCTTGTTCCTGTGCTTAGTCTATGTGTGAGTACACTGTATTGTTTTGTCTCTCTCAGTATGTGCTTTAGTACACTTACTAGGGAGTTAACCAGCATTGCAATGCTGTTCAAAACACGAGTCGTTTTGCAAGAGAGGAGATTGGAAGAATTTGCAGTCCTTCTCAGTCTTGTACAGATTGATAACTTTTAGGGGGTGGGGGTGGGGGTGGGGATGTGGGTGGGTAGAAGAAGCCCAATTACTTTAATTGTTTTGCCTTTCACCCTTGGTTGCCCCAGGGAAAATGGGGGCTTGTTTACTGTTTATTCAGTTCAGAGGCAGCAGTAAAAGGGTTTGATGGCCCAGTTTTCTTTGTTTTGTTGGTCAATTAGGTAAGAATGTACGCATTATGTGACCCTGCCCTTTCCAGAGGAGGGGTTAAAACAGAGGTATTTTGCATGCTGCATTGTCAGACAGTGAATTAGACCATAGCTCTCTAACAAACTCCGTATTGATGGGACTTGGAGATATGGGTTATTTTACCCAGTTGGTTCATGATAATGCTATGCTTAAGGTTAAATATAGTAGGTGTAGGGGACAAATGTGGAGCTTATCAACATACCCTTTTGTTTGATCTGTGCTATCCATGTTATGACTCTATGACTGTAAACAGCCTACTCACACGAACAGAGTATTACACACATAATGGAGAATTTTCTGAAATTGTGCCTGGAACCTAAAAGGACACAGCTGGTTGAATTTTCAAAAGTTTTACATACTGCAGCTATCACTTTTGGACTGATAATCTACCAAGAAGGGAGTATAGACCCAAATTGTGCAGCTGTTTGCTATATTGATGCTCGATGATGGAAATTAGAATTCTATATGCTAATTAAATTTAGTTAGTGACTCAAGACTTGTTGGATGGTCAGTTCCAGCTGAGAATGGAAAGACTCTTACTGAATGGTCTGTTAAGAATTCCAAATTGTACAGGAGATATGAAGTTGGTCTGACAGCATTTGTCTAAATTTGATTTAGGGCTTGAATCAAAATTTATAGCCAAGTTCCATTCTTAAATATGTATTCCTTCACATGGCACAACTTATGAACTGAAAGGATCGGGTTATCTTCCATTAACCTGTCTGAAATTGGATGAGATGATGCCAAGAAGATTGAGCAGAGAGCTCTACTGATGCCTGATTGTTGACAACATAGTGAATCCCTTCTCGTTTTAACCCCACTCCCAAAACTCAGTGACCCCATGACACCTCTACCACATAAAAAAGGATGCTGGGAAGGCTGATCTTGATAATCCTGCCTCTCAAAGATCCCTGCATTCCACTGCTGCAATCTTTGACCCTGGGGATAGTCAGGAGCAGGGTAATAGTTTGAAAACCAGGATGCCACTGAAAAATCCACTGAAACTCCTCCTGGAGAGAGCGTTCCTGGGTTTAGCCCTCTTGGTTTTGCACCCAGGTCAAAAATGGTGCCTTATTTTAAACTTCTGCTTAGACTAAAGCATAAATTATTCTTTGCCAGTGGATCTTCAAAGCACGTCTAACTTGATTGATTCAGGCTCTTCCTCTTTTGATGCCATATCTGGATCTCCTTTGTCTTGCATTATCTCTTGATGATGACGATGATCCATTCAGGATTCCAGTTGCACGATCCCTGACCAAATAGTTCAGGGACCCAGTAGGATCAGTGTCTTATGGACCAGTTAAGAGACACCCCTGACTCCATGACACTAACTGCACAAGAGGCAAAATCAGAGTTCCACCCTCCAAACCTCAAATCCCCAAATTGGAGAATAGCAGCCAGAAAGAGCCCTTGGAGAGCGTAGACTGTTAGGGGGAGAGGGGAGGGGGGAGTGGGGAGGGATGGGTGCACAGCAGAGTGTTTGCAACATGCGAGAGGATGAAATATTCAAAAATGCCCTTTCATTAAGTGGCCTCTTTTAAGGAACACTAGCCAATCTATCTTCTTTTCCACTTGTGGTAGTTTCTAATCTGCCAGTGAAAGACCAAAATTGTTGCTTTATCACCCAAATTGTCTCTCAGTGCCTGAATTTAAATACATATGTGTGACTCCTGTTTTGGCTCTAAATCTGTGGCCAGCTATGTAATGCAAGCTTGTGTCAAGTATAATTTCTTTTTGTACTTTTTTTTAAATTTCCATTGCTAAATAGGGTGATAGTGAAATGAAAATAGATCCTAAATACACCGTTCTGAGGTATCTTGTGTGTGCCTCATTATTTTTGTCCCCACTTTTAGCAGGATCTATCTGATCTCTGATGTGGATAAGTATTTCATATCAATTGCCTTATATATTTTGTAGTTATTATTAGGGCTTCAGTAAATTGTGGGTTCTCCAACATTGAAAAACTGGCAACAGTAAAAGAGGCTCAAAAATGATTGGTTTTCAGTCGAGGATGCTTTGGGGATGATATCATTGCTGGATTTGGAAAGTAATTTGCAGGAGCCACAAACCAACAGTTAAGAACTTGTTTCTCATATTGTTGGAGTCGAGTCACAGAACTTGATTAACAGTGTCTTTAATTCTCAATGTAGACTGTAATGTGAGCTACTGAACTGTATCACTTGGTGGGGCACAGGGTAGGATAAATTAGAATATTACCAGTTCGCATCATAATAGACACTGGCTGAGTAAAGGATGGCAGGGAAGTAAGTGTACTGTTGCTTTGCTGTTGTTCCCTATGTTTGAACTAACCTCTACGCTCTGGTTGAAATGTACTTGGAGCCATGCAACTTGTAGGCATGAGTGCACAGCCCTTAATCTGGTAATAATTGGCACTGCCACATAGAGATTATGAGGATGGTTGTTGTGAACTACCAGGGCAGTAACCACAGCAACAAGATCCCACTGGAGGTTTGAGCGAGGGCATGTTGGAGCAGAGGATGACCATTCTATACCTCATACCAAGTGCTTTATGACAATCTCCTATTCATTTCCATGAACAGCATTGCTTGACCTGAGGAAGACATGGTTTCATTAAAATAAATTATGTAGAGGAAAGGCCACCCGACAGGTCAAAATAAAAGACCTGATAAATTAGAGATTACCTTTTTAATGACACTCCAGTTTATCTCCAGAAATCCATAATATAGCTTTAATTTTTAACACTAAGTTTTTAATAATCTCTTATTTGTAATAACAGCTTTCTACAGCCAAGTGTGCAGTAGAAGCTGTAATGTATATAAAGCAGTGTGTGTTTTCGTGTCTGTTGGAACATTAACCACTTTATATGTGTTTATTGCTGATGGATTTTTTACATTGTATTTTCTGACATGTCTGTGCAAAGCTACCTCTGTTCACTGACTTATTGCTGATGTTAACAGTTGAGGTTGATTGAGAGGATAAGAACCCTCTTCCTGATATGATTGTACTGATTTTCTAATAACAGCCTGTTTAATCATTAAATATGGAGCTCACACGATATAGAGGTCTCTCATCGTGCAACAGCATTCAGTGTGCATTAGCAAAGTTGGCAGCAATAGTAGGATTTTAGGAAATTTTAGTTCATGCTAATTATAAGAATGGACATCTGGGTTATTAAATGAGATATAACCTTCATTAGTCAGATTAGATGACAGTCTTTTCTATTACCTGTGAAGATCTCTGATCTCATTTAAAAAAAATCTCAATTTAGCTCTTAGAGATAATACAACTGATGAGAGACTGTAGTTTAACACTAATTGCCAATTTTAGCCAATTAATGGTAATTGGAGTTTAATCTATGCCTTCTGCATTCAATTGTCCTAACTTACTTGCATTGTTTAACTATGTAAATGCCTTTTTTGACTCAGCTGAAGGAAGTGAATTACATTCCAACAGCGTGAAGTTAACATTCACTCTCCAGTTCCTGGGTGGTAATCCATTTGGCGTGGATTACCAGCCTGACTTTAATCACATTGAATAGAACTGGTTCCATTCAGACTGGTGATACACTGCACAGGTTTAATACTTAGGTGACAAAAGCCCTTTGTCTCAATTCTGAGCTGCACACTACACCTACGTGTGTCACTGATGGGAGAAGGAAAAAAGGTTTGGTTTTTGTGATCCTCAGGGTCTGGGAATGTCAGAGCAGTCAGTTGGAACAATTCCCAAGTTTTACCTGGGAAGTTGCACAGAAGTTGTTACTGTATTCCATGACTCCTTCAATGGAACTCCTGTCTCTGGAGATCAGAGAACCCCGTGAAAACTTTCTCATCCTCTCTCTAATTTCAGCATAATGAAGTACACTTAACCTGAGTGCACCACAGTTATTGCATATTAAAGATGAATCAAAAACATGAACATTGTCTCTGAGATTGACCATTAGTATTAATTGAAGGGCAACTCTGAGCTGTATGCCTATCTCATTCAAAGTCACTTCACATAGGATTTGACAGCATCAGTCATGGCCTGCTTTGAAACCAGGTGCTAAAGGTGAAAGATCACTGTGTAACCTAATGCGCAAACTGATTACTTTCAAGAAACCTCTTTTAATCAAGTTCCTAGTCCTGTCAATCATCTTAAAAAAAACTCTTCACATTTTAAAACAAAGTGGACATCTTTAAAAGTCTAATTAAGATTGCTATACAAAAAAAAAATTCTGGCTTACATGTGAAGTAATCTTATTGACACTGCCCCTTTGGCAATTGTACATTCACGAAACCATTACTCTACAATGTGATAAATTACTTTTGATCTGGTACTTTTTCATTCCTGCTATTTATTCACATACCTATCCTTCCATGCAATGTTACGTGATTCCATTGCAATGGATGATTCAGTCTTATCTTTTACTTCCAGCAAATCTGTGGTTACAATAATGGATCGGGGTGGTAACTCTTTAGGAGTGGTACCCATGGCAGAGTTTTGTGCAGAACCACTTGTCCCTCTTAAAGCACCATTCCTTTAGTTGCTGTTTTTGGTGGTGACAAACTGAGGAGGACACCCCTCAGGGATGTTTATGCTCAGTGCGTGTAATGAACAGCTAAAATATTTAGTGGTGCACTTCACCCATGTGCGTAGTGTATCAAACGGTTCAACAGAAGGAATGACAAGATTCCTAGAATGTTCCAATACTACTGACTATGCACAAAAACATGAATTTGTACAAATGTATATTGTAATTTACCAAGTTCATACCACATACCAATAAAATAATTTTAAACAAATGGTGTTATACATTTTAAGTGTTGATTTCTGCATTACGGCTATAAAATATATTAGTAGAAAAAACATTTTGATACCTTAAAGTTGTCTCTCTGTCTTGAAATCAGAATTTAATCTCTTTGTGGAGTAACATTATGAGAGTGATTAGAATGTGACATTTGTTACAACTTGGAGTAGCTAAGGTGAATATTATTAGATATATTGAGGGGGAAGTTAGATAAGCCAATGAGGGAGAAAAGAAAGGAAGGCGATGTGATAGAGTTTGATAAAGAGTGGGTGGAAATACTTGAGTGTGCACCATGGAGCAGTCTGCTCCAATACCAGTCAATGAAGTCTGTGTAGTACACTGTGTTGGGAACAAAGAGGCAAAATCGAGGCATCAGAGGGAGCACACAACATGTTGCTGAGTTTGCATTATGAGCCATCTCTGAACCCATTGACCCTGGCATGGAAGCAAGTGATTCTCAATCTGAAGGTCTACCTAACGAGGATAAATCCATTTCCCTCATTTATACTGTCAGTGGTGGAGTTGGGATACTGGTGGTCTGAACTGATCTCTTCACAGATCATGCAGCTTTGCATCATCATCACTGCAACCTTGACAATGTCATGAAGCTTGTCAACAGAAGACATGGTAGGTAATACAAGGTTCTTTACCTGGCCACGGGTAAATGATTGTTATCTGACTTTCCCTGCAGACCATGTCCTCAGTACAAAACAACAACGCTCTGTTAGAACCATTTTATCGTACTCTCATCAGGCCATTTCTCAAGAATACCAATAAAGGGGAAAACAAGCAAATATCTAAACTGTATAAGCAGAGACTGCTAATTTGGTTGGCAAGTGGATTCTAGTTGGTAAAAGCTTTGCCATTGCGAATGTAACAGTTATAGAGTCAAACAACATGGTGGGCCGAAGGGCCTGTTTCTGTGTCTATGCTGACCAACAGACACCAAACCACGGTAATCCCATTTACCTGTACTTGGTCCATTGCCTACTATGCCCAGGCATTTTGAGTGCACAACCAGATGCTTCTTAAATGAGAGTAGCTACCTCCACCGCTTTCTCAGGTAGCACGTTCCATATTTCTACCAAGCTTCAGGTGATTTCCTCAGATCCCCTCTAAACCATTTACTCCTTACCTTAAACTTATGCCCTCTGGTCTTTTAGATACATCTGCCACGGGGATAAACTTCTCACTATCCCACCCTACCTATGCCATTCATAATTTTGTATACCTCAATCAGCTGCTCCTCTGCTCCAGGGAATACAAACCCAGCCTATCCAGTATTTCCATGTAACTGAGACATTTCAGCTCAGGCAACAGCATGGCAAAACTTCTCTGCACCCTCTCCAGTGCAATCTTGTCCTTCCAATAGTGTGGCAACTAGAATAGCACACAGTATTCCATATATTTTTTTTTACCCCAGTCTACAGGTAGCGACTTACCCCTGCACCACAAGAAGGTGCCCAAAACCTTTGGTGCAGGTGGGATTTGAACCTGGGTCTTCCAGCTCAGGTGTAAGGATACTATCACTGTTTCACAAGCACCTGCACCCCAGAATTCCATCTGCGGCCTAATCAATGCTCTGTAAATTTGCATTAATGATGATTGACCATTAATTGCCAAACTTTTTATAGATTTCAAAGCAGGCAGGTTGATTAAGATTGGTCAAGACATTACCCTAGAAATAAACGAGCAAATGGCCATCACCAAATTGCTGGAACAGTCAGTGTTCTTTGGAAAAATCCAGGTCTCCTCGTTGTAAGATATGTAACTTGGACACCACTGACAATTCTAAATTGGTTGTCAGTGTAATTCTTTGCACACTCAGGATTATCCAGCAAGTCAGTGACTGTATCCAACCAGCCAAACTCGCAAGAAATTTAGATCTGATTTTGTTAGATTCTGTGAACAGTTAAATTTGTAAGTTCCTATACAGTTCATTCCTGTGTGTGACGAAATTCCAATCTGTAGAAAGGCTGAGCTTCTATTTTATCTTTTACCTTTCAGAAGATGGAAGATAAAGATAACCAGTTAGACATAATATTAACACAGATCTACCTTCTTTGGACTCAGTGGATTAATTTGGTCATTCACACCTGGAACCATCACATAACAAAAAACATTTACAACAAAAAACAGAAATTGCTGGAAAAGCTCAGCAGGTCTGGCAGCATCTGTGAAGAAAAAAATCAGAGTTAACGTTTTGGGTCGGGTGACCTTTCCTCAAGCCTCTTCTTCACAGATGCTGCCAGACCTGCTGAGTTTTTCCAGCAACTTCTGTTTTTTGTTCTTGATTTACAGCATCTGCAGTTCTTTTCGTTTTTATTAAGGATTATTGTCATGTCTGGATTGCTTCATGGAAAAGAAAAGCTTTAGAATTAAGTGGGCAGTTTTGAAGAAAATATGGTGAGCAATCAGAAGAACAACTTCCTTAAAGTTTCTGTAAATTATGCAACTACATAGTAACTCAAAAGCTGCACAGTGGTCCAAATCATGTTTACACTTTAATTGCAAAATGATAACATATTCAAAATGAACAAGGATTAACATTTCAGTAAATACTGTTGGGGAGAAAAACAACTGTAAACATCGAAAAAAATTAAAATATTCCATCCTGATGTTGTTAATGGTTTTGTTTATGGAGGTACTTGTTGTACAGTACATAAAACTTTTAGTTAAGCATCTGCCAAAAACAGGTGATTCATTATCTAAAAAATGCATGTTTATCCTGAGTAAAGACGGGCGATAAATACAATTGGGAAGTGGGTATGGAGCAGTTGTTTTGATAAAATTCTCTCGGCTGAGAGGACATTCCTGGAGGCTAGTGTTCGATGCCAGGGCAAGAGTGAGGGAAGACACCTCGGAGATCAAAGGCTTTGCTGAAGTCAAAAGCCTGGATCTGTTGATCTTTTGTCAGCTTGAGGTTCCTTATGCAGCCCTGGAATGGCTCTTGAAGGGTCAGGCAATTCTGTTTCACATTAGCTGTGTGAGAGGACAAATATGCATCTATCAACATGTGTTGAGTTGACTGAATAATCGCTGCAATACATGCAATATGTGGAAAATTATAACTTGAGAATCAAATTAAATGCAACTGTATATATTTAAAGTTTAACGATGAATTTAATACTTGAATGATGATTGACCTTGGGTAGACTGTGTCGAATAATCTGGATCTGGAATAGGGGCTGTTTAGCTCAGTTGGCTAGATGGTTAGTTTGTGAATGAGATTTGTGCACCAAAGGAAATTTTAGACCCATTCCACCTGATTGTAGTATAATGATCAGGCATACAAGACCATAAGACGTAGGAACAGAAGTAGTCCATACTTAACAACCCCTAGATCAAATGGTTGTGTGTTCATATCATGTCAGGCTCATAGTGTTTGTAGCGCAATTGCCTGGATTTTACATCATGACAGAGTTTTAAGGGCAGCTCAGTGGTTAGCACTGCTGCCTCACAGCACCAGAGACCCAAGTTCGATTCCACCCTTGACCGACTATCTGTGTGGAGTTTGCATGTTCTCCCCATAGCTGCATGGGTATCACTGGGTGCTCCGGTTCTCTCCCAAATCTAAAGGTGTGCATGTTAGATGGGTTGGCCAAGCTAAAAACCCCAGCAGGAGTATGTGAATTTGTTGGGGGGATGGGTCTGGGTGATGTGGTCTTCAGAGGGTTGGTGTAGATGTGATAGGCTGAATGGCCTTTTTCTGTACTGTTGGGACACCATGAATGTATGACTCAGCCTCTGCAGTAAGGAATTTTACAGATTCACCACCCTCTGAGAGAAGAGATTCTGTGTAATCTCTACCTGAAATGGACACCCCCTTATTCTGAGATTGTGTCCTCTGGTCCCTAGACTCTCCCACAAGGGATTAACCACTCTGTATCTACCCTGTTAAGTCCCATAAGGAGGGGCGGCATGATGGCACAGTGGTTAGCACTGCTGCCTCACAGCAGCAAGGATCTGGGTTCGATTCCACCCTCGGGTTACTGTCAGTGTGGAGTTTGCACATTCTCCCTGTGTCTGCGTGGGTTTTCTCTGAGTGCTCCGGTTTCCTCCCACAGTCCAAAGATGTGCAGGCTAGGTGGATTGGCCAGGCTAAATTGCCTGTAGTTTCAGGGATGTGTACGTTAGTTGGGTTTATAGGGGGATGGGTCTGGGAGGGATGCTCTGAGGTTCGGTGTGGACTTGTTGGGCTGAAGGGTCTGTTTCCACACTGTAGGGATTCTATGAAGAATGCTGTACATTTCAATAAGATTACCTCTCAATCATCTGAAATCCAATTAGTAAAAGCCAAACCCACTCAACTTCTCTTCATAAACAAATCCCTCCATACCCAGTATCAGCCTAGAGAAACTTCTCTGGATTGCCTCCAATGTCAGTGCATCTGATATGGGGGCCAAAACAGTTTACAGTATTCCAGCTGTGGTCTAACTAGTGCCTTGCACAGGCTTAAAAAGACTTCCCTATTTTAATATTCCATCATCCTTGAAATAAAGACCAACATTCCATTTGCCGTTCCTATTACCTGCTAAACATGAGTGTGTATGTTAATGAAATAATGATGTATAAGATAATGTAGCACTGACATCAGCAGTCATATGCTATTTTGGCAGTACATACTCGATGGGCTGAAAGTCCTCTGCTGTAATATATGGTTCTATAAGACTCATAGGACAGAACAACTGAACTAGAAAGCTACAAGAAAAAGATCAGTATTTGGTATCAGAGATAGTAGGAACTGCAGATGCTGGAGAATCCGAGACAACAAGGTGCAGGGCTGGATGAACACAGCAGGCCAAGCAGCATCATAGGAGCAGAGAGGCTGACGTTTCGGGCCTAGACCCTTCATCAGAAAAGGGGGAGGGGAAGGGGGTTTTGAAATAAATAGGGAGAGAGTGGGAGGCGGATAGAAGAGGGATAGAGGAGAGGATAGGTGGAGAGGAAACAAACAGGTCGAAGAGGCGGGGATGGGGCCAGGAAAGGTGAGTGTAGGTAGGGAGTTAGGAAGGGGATAGGTCAGTCCAGGGAGGACGGACAGGTCAAGGGGGCGGGATGAGGTTGGTCGGTAGGAGATGGAGGTGCGGCTTGGGGTGGGAGGAGGGGATAGGTGGGAGGAAGAACAGGTTAGGGAGGCAGGGACGAGCTGGACTGGTTTTGGGATGCGGTGGGGGGAGGGGAGATTTTGAAACTTGTGAAATCCACATTGATACCATTGGGTTGCAGGGTTCCCAAGCGGAATATGAGTTGCTGTTCCTGCAACCTTCGGGTGGCATCGTTGTGGCACTGCAGGAGGCCCAGGATGGACATGTCGTCTGAGGAATGGGAGGGGGAGTTGAAATGGTTCGCGACTGGGAGGTGCAGTTGTTTGTTGCGAACCGAGCGTAAGTGTTCTGCAAAGCGGTCCCCGAGTCTCCGCTTGGTTTCCCCGATGTAGAGGAAGCCACACCGGGTACAGCGGATGCAGTATACCACATTGGCAGATGTGCAGGTGAACATCTGCTTGATGTGGAAAGTCTTCTTGGGGCCTGGGATGGGGGTGAGGGAGGAGGTATGGGGGCAGGTGTAGCACTTCCTGCGGTTGCAGGGAAAAGTGCCGGGTGTGGTGGAGCTGGAGGGGAGTGTGGAGCGGACAAGGGAGTCACGGAGAGAGTTGTCCCTCCGGAAAGCAGATAA